TTTATGTTAACTATAATTGTGTATCATAGAAATATGACAAATTTGACTGTATTCGAGCTGCAATGTATCACTGGGAACTAGTTGTCAGGTACACCTTCATGTGCATGTACTATCACGTTGAAGAGATTCATGGCTGAAATTTCGATCATTCCTTATAGGGACATGTATGTGCTGAGTGGATGAAGTTTCGGTTTTATACGTTTGAGTGTAATTGGACAGTGGATAGCAATGCAATAAAAGATGTTCATTTTGTTTCATTCATATAGGTGGATGATAATACAGATGCTTGATCTGATGGTAGTGGTAAAAGTAAGCGACTCAAAATGAGACTAACAACGGACAATTATTAGAAACTAGTTTAATCGTTTAAAGATCCCCATCATATTAAAAGACTAATATTTGAACGAAGAATATTGTTTTCGATAAATTCTTTTCGACTCGATAAAATTGTAATAGCACTATCATATCTGTCTTACCTTATCGGACCCATATTTATTCTGATCATGGATCTTAAAATGTTCACCAAATACATATACAGATTCAAGAGTTGACATTCTATATGAGTCATATCAACATTAACAGTTTTTAATGATAATAATACTAATATATTCTGAAAATAATATTTACAGAATTCACACCAGTTTACAGGCATGATCAGATTGTTATAAAAATCATCATTTAATGTAGAGAACAAACATGAAATATAAGAAAATTTTATGTTTGCTGGTTTAGTAATTGATAAATAGTTTATATATGGCATATATCACGGCAAGCCAATGCAACACTAGAGAACTTGCCGAGTTATTGATAATTATCTACAACTAGAGAAAGTAAGATAAAAGCAAAGAACACGGAACAACAAAACAATGATAGCAAGTAAGAGGTTAAGCATTTAAAGTTCCGATAATCTTACTTGTGGAGTAAGATACACTTACAGGCGCTAGAGCATTTAATGCATTTTCAGAGGAGCAAAAGTCATTAATTGAGCGAACAAACAATGGGAGAGAGTTTAACATACGGATAGTTTGAGGTAAATTATTCCAGAGCCTAGAAAAGTTACAGGTAAAGTAATTCATATAGAGAGAAGATCTAGAATATGTTTGTTTCGCTAAAGACAAGGGGTTACGAATGTCGTAATGTGGGGCTTTAGCATATTGAATCGCCTGACTGGATATGAAGGAGAGTTTGTTAAGTATTTTGTAAAAGAAGATAAGGTTAAGTTTGAGTCTCCTCTTCCATAAAGGGTCAAGCCCTAGTTTACTACACCTCGAATTATATGTCAAGACACTATCAGTTCCAAGAGTACGAAGTGTAAATCGTCTCTGTACTGATTCCAGTCTTAATTTATCCTTTATGCGCGTGCTACTAAGGAGAAACGCGCAGTATTCGAAGAGTGGTCGAACACAGACTTTGTACATTAGAATACGAGATTCGCTGTTATGAAGGTTACGAGTTATGTGACCTATAAGGCGTTGAGACTTGGACGTTTGTTTCATTATCTGTTCAGTAAACGACAAGTCGTCGGAGTACATAAGTCCTAGATCTACTACTGTGTGTAACCTAGATAACATTTCACCATTTAAGGTAAGATCGAGGTTGAGTGATGTATCACCGAAGCATAACCATCCACATTTAGCTGTTTTAAGCTCCAGTTGCCATTTCGAGCACCACTGTGCTACCTTGTTAAGCTCCGTGCTGATACAATTTTGAATATTGCTCAGCTCATGTGGAGAAAATGAGTACACCACCTTAAGATCGTCTGCATACAAAATGGACTTACCCACACTAAAACACTCACAAATATCATTAATGAAAACTAAAAAGAGCAAAGGACCTAAGACACTACCTTGAATCACCCCACTTCTAACAGGGACGGCATTCGACAATGAAGAGTTCATTTTAACTATTTGATGTCGATTGCTGAGAAAGGAATCAAACCAGGCTAGTAACGGGTTTTGGACCCCATAAGATGTGAGTTTACCTATGAGAAGTTGGTGGTTGACCATGTCGAAGGCCTTAGAAATGTCCAGGTATAGCACTAATAGTAGATATCCTTGGCTACGAAGCGAATAGACTGAATTAAAGAAGTCAAAATAACATGTCATACAGGATCGATTTTTAAGAAATCCATGTTGCGAATCATCAATAAATTGTTCAGTCAATAAATAGTTGGATAGTTCGTCACTAATAATTTTTTCCATAATCCTAGAGATAACTGGAGTAATATTTATTGGCCGATAGTTGTTCATGTCAGTCTTATCTCCGGATTTGTAACGTGGTATGATGTACGCGGTTTTCCAACGGTCAGGATAAGAGCCTGATTCCAAAGAGTGAGTAAACAGCTTAAGGAGAAGAAGTGGAATATCTTGACCACCATATTTGTAGAGAAATGATGAAATCCCGTCTGCTCCGTGACCTTTCGAAACCTTGAGGTTATTTATAACCTTACTAATTTTCGGACATGTGAAGGAGATAGATTTAATTGAGTTACCAGTCATGCATATAACTCTAGAAACAGAGCCATTTATGGATTCTTTGCCATTTGCAAAATTACCACTGAAAAGGTCTGCTATAGTTTTTGGGTCATATATAAAACTATTATTATGCAGGATGCATGGTATATCAACCTTTTGAGTTGATTTAGCACGTTTATTGAAAAGGTGGATTATGTTTTGCACTTTTGAGCTAGTACTTAGTGCTAATAGCTCTTCATTTCTTAATCTATATGAACTCTGTTTGGAGATTAAAATCGTTGGAATTTAGTGCAGTTTGATGGAATTCATGACTTCTGGGCGGCCTGCTTAAACATCTGGGCTACCTGTTTCCCGTCATCTATATATTTCAACAAGTTATCTAATATTGTTTGTTTTGATACATAGTTATGGCTATTAAGCACACAACCTATTCCGGTGCGTTTCTGAAAACTGTACAGCCTTTCGCTGTAAAAGTTACAAAAGGCCTAATCAGAGATGTCGCGTTTGCTGGGAACATGCAGCAAAAAGAATATACACTATTCATATGTCGATTGACTGAACTGCTGACATCCAACTGGCGATCACTGAATGTTTATCATCAGGAGCAACGAAGAAATAAGAAACGTAAACATGTTGAAATACTTTATGCTGAGAATTCGATTTTGTGCCAAATAATATAATATTGAAGAAAGCCAATAATAATAATAATAATAATAATAATAATAATAAAATTAAACCACGCTTGATGGACATCCATTAAATAGATTATTTTCAATCTCTAATAAACCATTTACAGATTTGTCAATTCGAATTCTAATGTATTCACATACAACATCATAGCTTACCATTGTTCCATTCTTCTGGTAATAGATAATCCTGAGATTTTTGATTTATAGTCATATGAATGCTTTACGACATTATTAATTTCATGTTGATGTATCTTTAGTATACTAACTAGATATTTAGGCAGAATATATGTGGAATTATTTGTGAAATCTACTTCGAGTCGTATTACAGTATTATTTTGATGCACATTCCCGCTCTTAAGGCTTACTATATATTTCTTGAATGGATTATTTTAAAGCAAACCACTTAATTTTAATTTCGAAATATTCTTGCCTAATTGTATGTGCTGTATTTCCGGGTTGTATTTTGAACAGTCGAATCGTAAATATTTTTGTAAGCACCTTAGATATGTAAGAACAAATGGTAGCCAGGCATTTTTTTACACGTTCTGTATTTAATTATGTCTTTGTCTCCTGTGACTTTCTATATTTTTTTGTAGTAATATGAATGCTTTACGACATTAGTAATTTCGTGTTGATGTGTCTTTAGTATACTACCTAGATATTCAGAATGAGTATATGTGAAATCTCCTTGGAGTCGTGTTCGAAATCAGTTATAGGAGTTTCAGGGTGCTCATATAAAGTTATACAAATCCAGAAAAACCACCGATGCAGAATAATTTGAATTCATGATATTTCGTGGTTTCTCAACAGCTGTTTACAACCAAATATATTTTAAATTTCACATTGAAGTTTGATATACTGTGAAACAATTGATATAAGTGAATGAAAGGAAACGGAATGACAATGGTTATCAATAATAACTCTACATATATGTGCAAGAACAGGTAGGTTGTAAGAATCAAACAAACATGCGTGATGAAATAATTGAGTGAAGTGCAGAGACACATGAGATAAATTCTTTAATGATGTAGTTTTCGATTTGGTATGTTTATGCAGAAGCCAAGAGAAGGCTCCAATTCTTTTAGAACTATGTTCATTTCCGACTTTAATTTTTAACCATTTGAATATTTTTCGATTAATCTTTTGGTAAGGTCAGTTATATAATTATAGACTCCCTTCGTAGTTGCTCTATCTTTGACCATTTTCGACTTTGCTAATGTCGAATGTTTCTTATGAAACCTATGTACGCCTTTGTTTATTATTTACTTGACAGTAAAATGTCATCTTGACTGACCACTTTTGAGCGACAATGGATTCTAACATAAAACTTTGACACAATTTAATACTAAATTGCTGATGAATGATTACTCGGATCTGTCAATTAATACTATGCTTCCTGGAAAACGAAAACCATATGTTTGGTTGCGAAAGCGATGCGGATTGAGTTACTTAGTCAAGACAGTAATGCCCACGCCGTTGCTAGAAATATATAGTGTGTTCATCATGTTGCCTACCAGCCGGTTATTTTTTCGGTGCCGTTTTAGGCTTAGTCCAGTCTTATTCGGTTAAGTTGATCGGCTTTACTGGAAACGGATTCCATCTAGCAAGGCTCACAAGCCAACCGCGTGGATGTGGTTTTACGGGGAATTCATCACCCCCACGTATTGGCGCGCAAGCGTCACGCCAGGGGCAAGTATAGTCTACATGTATATTGGTAACGTGTAAGTTTTCATCCGTGCGTCCCTTAGCATACACATACCTATATGCACCCACCTGAGAGCGTAGATGTTCACAGTTCTATTCCAATGTATTTGCTACAACTGACTGTCACTTAAGTATTACATGCACATCACTGGCACAGACAATTTCGCCCCTGTGTTTCATGACATACACCTAAGCATAAGGTCTGTTACAGGGAGGTTCAGTGGTCACCTATCCGCATTACTTACTTGACCAAGTTAGCTAGCAACGTTTGCTCTACTATCCTGTAATGCCATGGGAAAGCGAACGGTAAATGATTTAGCTCCTCTTTTATTCCAGATAGAATGCATATTGGTTATAAAAGTTCCGGTGTGTTTCATATTTCTTCCACAAAATATTTAAAGATTTCAGGTTGAAATTTTTTTAATGGGAAATTATTAAGTACAATTACTTGAGTATATTTTACTATGCACATAACTGACGACATTTAATATTCGACAAACGCACAAATACACACAGTGACATCTCAAGGCGTAAGCAGAACTAGAAAAATTTGTGTTTAGTTAAAATCGACAATAATTTTTTAATATGTTAAAAAATAGCATGGACTGGATGTACTCGGTCTCGTCATCCCAGAATAATTTCGACTGTATTGTAATGATTTATATATATGGAAAGTAAGTCAATACACAAAAATCGAAAACCATTGTTATCATAAACACGATTTTCTTATATCTGTATATCCAAAGACAGAATACAATAACTCGCTACACATAAAGTGTACTGATAAACACAGTTGCGAAACGACATCGAATGGATAGAAAGAAAGATTAATTTGTTGTTAGTAGTATTAGAATAGAATATTTCTAAAATAAACAATGCATAGTAGTAACTGAGAGTAGGGCAACAAAACAGAAAAGAGTAGAAAAGCAATAGAACACTGACCAAAACAAAAAGTTTAGTAAGTGACAACTGAAAATAAGGAGGAAAAACCAACAAACCAATTACGCAGTCAGGAGTGAAACTGAATGTGAAAGATGTACCATGTACATGTGATCTTGTCAAAGTTTATTGCAGATATATATATATATATATATATATATATATATATATATAGCGGTCGTGGAGAACGATAAATCATTTATTCCTCAGTAATTCCAGACAGAATGGATATTTGTTAGGAGAACGCCCGTGGGTTTCATATTTCTCTCACGAAAAGCGTCCAACAAGTATATGTATGCAACGGTATAACTGTTTTTTATGAAAAAGGAAGCGCCAAGAAATTTTAAAGTTTTAAACAGAATCTTCTCGTGTAAACGACTAAGTGCTTGCACACACACAGAAACAAATTATGTAAATAAAGTAAATCTGAGAGGAAAAAACAGTCGGAAGTATAAACATTACCTGGCTATAAAAAACGTAAGCAAGACATAAAATGTAATTAGTTCAAAATACTCTAGTCTTTATTTGCAGTATTATTCAAATCTATGTGAGATTTTATTAAATTTGATAATACGATTGAATGTCGTCTAACTGATAATTGAAAACCTTTTGACACTGGTGGCAATGGAAATTTCGGTAGAAGTAGTTTTTCTTCAGTTAAAGATGAAGTTGACGACTGGTCGATTGCTTTAATACGTTCATATTCTACAGAATCTAGTGAGGCCCAATTTTCTAATAAACACAGATATCTATGAAAAAAGTTGATAAATAAGCATAGTAAAACAATGAAATGTTTAGAAATGTGAACACTTTTTGAAGATAAGTTATACAACTTGATATTAAACACGGGGACAGTGGATCAACAAAATGAAATAACAATATCAAAGGTAGCATACAATCAGTCAGTTATTATCAACGTCGGTCAAACTTGACATACCATATTAGAATAACAAGATGAAACAATAAACATTGATAATATGGTTCGAAAAGCGAGAACTAAAAGTAGGACGGAGTAATGTGATCCAAAATTAAAGGGAGGACAAAGAGTAAATACATTTGGAATTCTGTGATCGATTGTGCGCCATGTCACTTAACATCTACAATCAATGATCTGGGTTATCGAGCATAATCACCCCAAGCAAGACAGCCTGCATCTACTAACCTAGTTCAGACCAACAGTCAATGACATTATGGATTGATGCCAAATCGATACAACTGGGAAATCATGATATTACTTGATATAGTGGACCAATCAAAAGTCGCTAAATGAGGAAGGTAAATTGTGTTGTTTAAAAATCTAATGACAATTGCATATTATTATTAGCCAAAGAATAACTTTATTTCCTAAGGATATATATATATCAGTGCAACAGTCTTTCTGTTCCACTGTTAGTTTTCTCACTCAGTAGCCGTTTAAGACCTAGCGCATAGGACGTTTATGTATCAGTATCTCAACCACCGAGTAAGTAATGTAGTTGTTAGGAAACGGGTACTAGGTAAGGGTGACAAAGCGGTTGATGAAGTACTGAAACTTCATCAGTTGAGATAGCTGAGACACGTGTAACGTATGACCAACCACCGACTGCGCCGACGTGCAATGTTTTATGCTGTAGAAGTAGGTTGGGAGAAAGCTAGGGAAGGTCAGACCAAAACGTGGAACACATCCATGAAGTCACTGACAAGTGGACTGAGCCATGTTGGTAGGTGTAGACTACCTGATTGGGATCCGCGAAATAATAGAAATCGGTGGTTAGAGACATTGAATGACATTGCTCAAAATCGTTTGTAATGGTGAAGGTTCATCCACTCTTTGTGTTCTCCCAAATTCTAATCTTCTGAATTCTTCATATCCCTATCTTTTTCTCTTTCCAAATCTATTTCACTGGATTATACTCCTTGAATAACATCTTCAAACCCTAATCTTTCGGATTACTGCTTATACTCTTACTACTTCTATCAATAAGGGATTTGAATTGACAACTGTATCTCTGTGCTAATATGGTATGGAAACTCGAACCGATGTATGTACTTACGAAGTTGTACATTGTGACTGACAGACTGACATAACTACTAGGCATTCGAATTACTATATTTTTATATTCCTCATATTGTAAGCTTTCAGTTGACGTATAAACTGCTTTTATATGTTTTATCTTCTAAATTCATTGCAAATTAACTATGGGACTAATATTACTCATATTTCCTTCGTGTGCATAGCCATAAGAATGTTGTGGTTTTCTATTCATATTACGATGATTTTGGATATTTAGTCTATGTTATAAGTGGAATAGAAGTTTTATCTGCTTGCAGTCCATATGTTCTGACAGGCTTATGAGATGGGAGGCTGATATGCGGGCCGGTAAGCGTTAAAGTATAGACCATTTTTTCGCAATAGGAGGTAAATCATTTAAAATTTGATTTAGATTTTACATACATGTTACTTACTTATTACATTTATCAACACAATGTTTGATAATTTCTTTACGGAAATGAGGGAAAGGATTTTGTACAATACTTATCATTGATTGCAGATTTAACGCTACCACAGACTCATTATAAATACGACTTTGTTCTTGATAGATTGTATCCGTACGTCGCTCTTCATAACCAGCTTCATTAAAATACGGTTCTGAATTAAGAATCAAAGCTGTAGAGAAAGAACTTTTGTGTATTAGCATGAAAAACGAATTCGGATTAATACAATATAAATTCGAGATTAAAAATAATGAGGTATTTGCGATTTGACTATTTCATACTCTAAAGTATTCCTAATGTATTAAATCAGCTGACTCAATGATAAATGCCATTACCACACAGCAAACTTTATTGATGAAATCTAAACTACTCAAAACAATGTAAGTAGTAGTAGTTGTCAGACAAATTACACATAAGTTAATCATATCCTTTCTAGAAGTTAGGGAATAGATCACTAGACGAGAATTAGTTGGTGGTTCTGGGTACACAATGTTAAGCAGCCTAAAATTAAGAAAAAATAGCCACCAAGTAATCTTTTCAGCTTTTTAATATTCTAGTAGTTTAAAAATCCCCATAGATAATTCAAAAATGAACAATATTTGAGCGAACAATTGTTTTCAATGACTTCATCATCAGGCTCTACAGTTATAAGTCCCCATAATTATTGTGATATTTTACAAAGTCCAAAATGAGGCATGTATTAATTAATTTGACAATGTTATATGTTAAAAATGGTAAACGTTTGCATCTGTTACGACATATATATACTTTAAAATTGTGTTATTTGTAAATTAGAAAGGTCATTTAATAAAGGTCAAAGTGATTTGTAATCAAGTGTCGAGTCACAATTAATATAATAGTAATTTAGGATAAATGAAAATACAAAAAAAAATTGTGTGAATGAAGTGCATAGTAGGAGAATTTCATCTTGCCCATAGAGATAATAATGATAAATAGTAATAGTAATAATAATAATATTGTTGTGTGAATATAATACGTAATAAAAGGGGGATGTTATCAAGATAATTACGATAAAGGAATTGGGAATGATGGATGTGAAGATTAAGATAGAGGTGATCAACAAAGAAAAAAAGGGAGGTTTATAATATTTAGTTTAGGAAACCGGTGATCCAGTCGTAGGCCAAGGTAAACATAGTGGCTGGATATACTTTTTTTGGATGCATAAGTTTGGTTTTCTAGAGTTGATCCAGATGGCTTCGGCTATGTAAAGTAATCGTAATCTAGCTCTTTGAGGTAGAGTTTTCGGAACTTGATATAAAACAGAGAAGGCTTCTTCTATTTTGATATAATGTTCACTGTCTACCAAGTGAGAAAGGATGGCGCTGTTAATGGATTTAGTGACTCCTTTTCCCAACCATGCTGGTACATGTTCACGAATACGCAAGGATAAAGCCCTCTGAGTACGGCCTATGTAACTAGCTCCACAGGAGCAGTTGAATTGGTATACACACATGGAAGAGCCCATCTTCGGTAACTTATCCTTGATTAATTGTGTGAGTACTGGTTTAGTTGAAAAAGTGACGTGTAGCTTAGTGGCGTAAAACGTCCTTTCAACCGATCTTTTCAGTCGGCGTGTTAGAATATCACTCGCTATGTCACCTTTGAAGTCCAGTTTCAAATACAAGGTTTTTTTACTCACTGTTTCACAATTTCTTCTTATTTTAACAGTACTTTCTACTAGGTATTTCTTAACGAACTTATCGGAGTAGCCATTCCTTCGCAATGTATTTTTCAGTATATCTATTTCACTCTCAACAGTGTCCTCAGAACATAATAGCTTGATTCTGTGACTGAGAAATTTAACCAAATTTATTTTATACTGAAGAGGAGTAAAGCTTTGGAAATGGGTATACTGACCCGTCCATGTATTCTTTCTAAATATATTTCGTTTGATGGAACCATCTCTCCTTCTAGAAAGTAGGACGTCGAGGAAAGCTATACTATTGTCTTTCTCTTCTTCGCTGGTGAATTGAATAGCTGGGTGGACGTTATTGAAAAAGTCTAACATCTCCTGTTTGTCAACCATTTCGTCGCATACGATTAGTGTGTCATCTATGTATCGACAGTAGTAGTCTAGCTTACTTAAGGTGTCTTTTAACGGTCCATTTTCCAGTTTGGCCAGAAAAATGTCAGCAAGGATCGGGCCTAGTGGTGATCCCATTGCTACTCCATCTACTTGTCTGTAAAATTCATTGTTAAACTTAAAGTAGATATTCATAGTACATTTCAACAGGAGTTCTTTCAATTTATTTATTGGAATCGGTATCTCTATTTTCTTTTCTAGCACTTGTTCACATATGTAATAAAAAATAGGAATATAAATGGTAAAACCATGCTATCACTAGACATAGCATCTTTGTTCACTAACATCCCCCTGATTGAAAATATCGATTACATATGTGAACAAGTGCTAGAAAAGAAAATAGAGATACCGATTCCAATAAATAAATTGAAAGAACTCCTGTTGAAATGTACTATGAATATCTACTTTAAGTTTAACAATGAATTTTACAGACAAGTAGATGGAGTAGCAATGGGATCACCACTAGGCCCGATCCTTGCTGACATTTTTCTGGCCAAACTGGAAAATGGACCGTTAAAAGACACCTTAAGTAAGCTAGACTACTACTGTCGATACATAGATGACACACTAATCGTATGCGACGAAATGGTTGACAAACAGGAGATGTTAGACTTTTTCAATAACGTCCACCCAGCTATTCAATTCACCAGCGAAGAAGAGAAAGACAATAGTATAGCTTTCCTCGACGTCCTACTTTCTAGAAGGAGAGATGGTTCCATCAAACGAAATATATTTAGAAAGAATACATGGACGGGTCAGTATACCCATTTCCAAAGCTTTACTCCTCTTCAGTATAAAATAAATTTGGTTAAATTTCTCAGTCACAGAATCAAGCTATTATGTTCTGAGGACACTGTTGAGAGTGAAATAGATATACTGAAAAATACATTGCGAAGGAATGGCTACTCCGATAAGTTCGTTAAGAAATACCTAGTAGAAAGTACTGTTAAAATAAGAAGAAATTGTGAAACAGTGAGTAAAAAAACCTTGTATTTGAAACTGGACTTCAAAGGTGACATAGCGAGTGATATTCTAACACGCCGACTGAAAAGATCGGTTGAAAGGACGTTTTACGCCACTAAGCTACACGTCACTTTTTCAACTAAACCAGTACTCACACAATTAATCAAGGATAAGTTACCGAAGATGGGCTCTTCCATGTGTGTATACCAATTCAACTGCTCCTGTGGAGCTAGTTACATAGGCCGTACTCAGAGGGCTTTATCCTTGCGTATTCGTGAACATGTACCAGCATGGTTGGGAAAAGGAGTCACTAAATCCATTAACAGCGCCATCCTTTCTCACTTGGTAGACAGTGAACATTATATCAAAATAGAAGAAGCCTTCTCTGTTTTATATCAAGTTCCGAAAACTCTACCTCAAAGAGCTAGATTACGATTACTTTACATAGCCGAAGCCATCTGGATCAACTCTAGAAAACCAAACTTATGCATCCAAAAAAAGTATATCCAGCCACTATGTTTACCTTGGCCTACGACTGGATCACCGGTTTCCTAAACTAAATATTATAAACCTCCCTTTTTTTCTTTGTTGATCACCTCTATCTTAATCTTCACATCCATCATTCCCAATTCCTTTATCGTAATTATCTTGATAACATCCCCCTTTTATTACGTATTATATTCACACAACAATATTATTATTATTACTATTACTATTTATCATTATTATCTCTATGGGCAAGATGAAATTCTCCTACTATGCACTTCATTCACACAATTTTTTTTTGTATTTTCATTTATCCTAAATTACTATTATATTAATTGTGACTAGACACTTGATTACAAATCACTTTGACCTTTATTAAATGACCTTTCTAATTTACAAATAACACAATTTTAAAGTATATATATGTCGTAACAGATGCAAACGTTTACCATTTTTAACATATAACATTGTCAAATTAATTAATACATGCCTCATTTTGGACTTTGTAAAATATCACAATAATTATGGGGACTTATAACTGTAGAGCCTGATGATGAAGTCATTGAAAACAATTGTTCGCTCAAATATTGTTCATTTTTAATTTTCTCCTAGTTTAAGCCAGTCGGTAATGCAAACTACTCAAGCATTCACATAATAAGCATGGTATAAAGCTATAATAAAACAATTAATTTAATTATGAGAAATATTTGTCAATCTCACCCTGAATTGATATAGCTAGTTGCAATAAATTGGACGTTTCAGCACTCCAATTCTCACTGCCCTGACCATTCCATGTACCCAGTAAAGAAAGACAAATATGTCCATCAACATACAAATTCGGATTGACTTTTTCATTGCCGAAACTGTAATAATGTACCTTTAATTGAAAATTTATTGGAAAAAAACTTGTAGTACTACAGAAAAAAGTAAGGTGATGGTAATTTTGAAGGTAGAATAGCTAATGAAAAACAGTGGTGCCTAAACAACTTCTTAATTATTGTTTAGGAAGTTTTAAGAATGTGCATTCACGACCACAACGAAGACTGGACGTAGATTTTGCTCTCATGATGAGCATATTAAATTTAAAGCAATGGGTCGTAATTTAGTAATCCAGACTTTTAAATTCACTCCCTGGCCACAGAGTACATTAGGTATATCTGTAAGTTATTGGCCTATAAATATTAGCTTGGTTGATTTTATTGATCATGATTTTCGACTACAACTACAATAATTAGTCTCTCTTACTGTATCGACATAAAGACTTAGTTATTGACAGTAAGAAACGATGAATTCATAAGCAAAAATTTTACCCGACCTTACTATCTATCAATCGGTGATAAAGTGAACTGTGAATCTTGCTATGAATATCTTTCTATGTATTTCATCAACTTATTTCGTAAGACTTTTCACATAAAATATTATATCTTAAGAAAAGTACTAGAAAGACATCAAATTATCTACTTTTCGCTATTGAATGCTAATTTGAACATATTAGGAAATCCACAGCAGCTATTTTCCTATTCTCAAATCACCACTGAACTTCGAGGTTATCTGACTGGTTATTTTCGCCGTTTGCTTGTAAATTTTATTGTAATTCAAAGATCATTCATTTGTTGCTAAAAAATAGTTGGCTGTCCCTTGTAAACGTGACTTTTTAAATAATAAGGTTTTTCCCCAAGTGCGTCACACAGGCGCAATTGTTTTTGAAGTGTTTTAGTGTATTAGTCGTCCAGTTCGCGTAAATCCGATATCGTATTAGGAGAATCTCTCCCAATCATTCGCAATTCACTGTTCCTGTAAGCTATCTCAAAACATAAGAATAAGAAACATGAACACTGAGTGGTCTAAAATTAGGTCATGTGTGAGGATCATGTTTTTTTCTGTCTATCTATCTAAAACAATGAGTTCAAAACGAAGACGATAATCACTAAAAATAATCAGTATAATATAGGTTGATTTTCACACTCACCTTATGCTTTTTTACACTAATCGCTATTTTACTGAAAGTGTGTGTGGTAAATCAACTTTACTTAAACCATATATATATATAGTTCAATAACTGAGCAACCAAAAAAAGACAGGAGTCACTCCATTTTAAAGCTTTCAATTGCATATTCCAAGGGACTTAAGTTAGATTTATTTGAAAAAATTTGTCAGTTAATGCGATAGTAAAATTTCTATGATTGGTAAAACTGAATACCATGTTGAAAAAAGTGCAGAATTTCATTATTAATGTATTTATTCAGTCCAAGAATACGTACGTCCATGTACTTCGTTGAAAGAACAATTTATGTAGAGGAGCAAAAATTTTACACTGCTGTTCAAACTAAGTGGAAGTATGAGGATTCAAAAATGCAGCTGATGTTTTGAAGTTGAATGATTCAACTACGCTGTAACTAAATTACCAAGTACAGATTCATGTATCTATTTTCCAGAGATTTCGTGAGTGAGGACTAGTGATACTACCCAGCTGCTTAAACCAAAGTAAATAAAGCGGGACTAGTAAATGTAACTTAGTGTTCGAAAGTTGAACATCGACGTATGCTCGAATATAGCAAAAACAGAGCTGGATGCCGACTCAGTAGTCTAGATGTTGAATATTAGTGTGCTAGACAGAGAGCCTTGGGTTTGATCCCGAGTGAGAATTCGTGGATCTGAACTGTGGAGAGATATCATACTAGGATGGAACAGTCGTCCAGTGCTTCCAAGTTTGCAATGATGATCTGACACTGATCGATTCATGGTTTTAGTTTTTAAAAATTATAATAAATATACATTTCGGTAATTCACGAATTCTGATTTCCATATTTGGTTTTATCTGCCAATATCAAAAGATAATCCACAACACACGATGTAAATAAGCATGCGTACAGGATCCGATGAGTTTATTATCTCAATGAGTCAAAAATGTAAAACAACAGCTTCGTTTATGTGACAAAAAATATGACTTCAAGACAAGTAACAAAAGTATCAAACAAATCAGAAGTGACCAGTCAGATAATTGTAAAAATCAGTAGGGTAATGCGAAATGAAAAGTTATCGTAGATTTCGCTGTTCGTTAGAACTATAATTCATAAAGAGAGATAAAAAAGCAAATAATTTGAGGGTTTCTTAACTTAAATAAATACATTTTGAAGCATTTGGATTTTCTTCACTACTACGTTGCTAGGTTCGACACCCACCACTCTACCTGTTTTAATTTCAGCAACTGAATAGCACATCGGTAACATCTAGAGAAAATGTATTGAAGTCACAGAATGATGGCTACTTAAATCAGTAGGTTGCATACCCAAACATTGTTACAACTACTTTGATTCTTAGTATATAGAATTGTAAAGAATATTAAATGATATCGATATCACGAATCGACCTGTCAAATATCCATGGATGGTTAATATAGGTTAGTTTATGATATACTGATTATGGTTTGGTTCTGGTGACTGAGTGATATTACTAGGTCTCCCATAAACAGTGTGTTTTAAAGTACAGCATATAAACCTGTACATGATAAATGAGCTGGATCGAAATAGGAGAACAAAAATATAGATTAACACCGACATATCACACAAATAAATCCTAGTTGCCAATATGGTAATAGTATTATTCATGGAATATAACAATAATCTACCTGTGGTGGGGTTGTAGGATAACTTGATGCCAAACCAACATCAAAAAAGAATAAACAATGTTCATACGGTGTACCAGATGCACCAATAATCATTATTGAATAAAGATCTATTCGATCTTCAAATCCTTTAACAATAATGTCGTTTGGAAGAATGGTGGATAGAAGAGAGATCTATTGACAGTTAGAAACAATTATAATAATGATAGAAAGAATTAATTTTCGAATTATACGTATAGAACATCAGATGTTTAGAAAGTTTTCTAATCTTATATTTCTTTATTAACATATGGAGTGTAAAATACCCTACGTTGTCCAAACTTAGACTAATTTGTAACGATTGGTATTATCTGGTTTTTAATAATATTAAGGACTACAACTGACTGGTCTCTACAGACATACATGCATCTTGAGTGGATTGCTTCAATATTACAAAACGAGCAATGAGATCCATAAACAAACAGCCAACGATATATAGAATGAAACATAAGTCCTGGACTCCGCTATTACTATTACCACTAAATAAAAAGTGTGTGGTCCAAGGTTGAGTATAGTTGATGTCATTCAAAATTAGGCGTTAAACTTAATAAGGTTACTTTATACAAATATTCGTCAATATTTGCGAGAATAGTTTGACGTAAATTGAGTGCCAAAGAAATTGTTGATGAAAATTATATTTGACATAACCACAGCGCTTAACAGTTAAATAATTCCAACGTTTCATCCAGAAAACTTGTCTGGAATTCTTCAGTGTGAAAACCAAAATTATCAAAGAATATATAACGTTTAACAATCAAATCAAATCTATACTAAACACTTATTCAATCATATTCAGATGTTAATTTGAGTCAGTAAGATGTGAATCACATGAAAAGTACACAATGTGAAAATAAATGAATGGGTGATTGTGTATGTGTGTGTGTTACTTTAAGTTATTAACAGCTGATATTTGGTGAATAAATGTTAATCATCTCTTTATTTAACGGTGAAAATAAAAGTGCAAAGTGAAAATTTCTTTAAACATCAGGGTGAATGTGAAATAAGAATCCTCAAATATTTAGTTATGATGTTAAAATATTCGCATTAATTTCTGTCAGAAAACGGGCTGCATGTGACATAAACAGAGTGAGTAGAGAAAATGTTCAAATTACTTGTAAATGATCATTTGCTAAGAGATGATTAGTTGAATACCATCTCTTCTGTACAGCTTGTTCCGATATATATTGCTTCTGCTGTCAATCACTCTTGACGCATACCAAACCCACTCTGAAGTATTTTGATCACATCAAAGTTGATTGTGTGTCCTGTTTCTAATGCATCCAACGTCATTTTACATTCACTCTGATGTTTAAAGAAATTTTCACTTTGCACTTTTATTTTCACCGTTAAATAAAGAGATGATTAACATTTATTCACCAAATATCAGCTGTTAATAACTTAAAGTAACACACACACATACACAATCACCCATTCATTTATTTTCACATTGTGTACTTTTCATGTGATTCACATCTTACTGACTCAAATTAATTTCCTACTGACTAAGGTCACCATCTTAATATGATTGAATAAGTATTAAGTATAGATTTGATTTGATTGTTAAACGTTATATATTCTTTGATAATTTTTGATTTTTACGCCGAACAATTCCCGAAAAGTTTACTGGATGAAACGTTGGAATTATTTAAATTCCAAGCGCTGTGGTTAAGTCAAATATCATCTTCACAAATAAATGTTAGTTTTCTTCAAATCTGATAGGGATCGGAGATATTTTTTCCACTACAACTAACATCAGACACATGTTCGTATAAACAACAGAGTAAACATTAATGAAAGTATTAAGGAAACTTCAACACGAAAATTGCAAGTTATTAGAGAATGATACAAAGTGGTGAACTAAAAAAAATAAGATACTTGGGTAGTTTTTATTTCGCATCATTTTCTCACTAAATACTAATTTTAATTGTATGCTTTCTTTTGACTAACATTTTGTTTCGATAGTGTAATAAGACGACGAAGATTATCAGAACTATGTGACATATTAGCGCAATACATTTTGAACAATCTTATCACGCATATACTTGTTAAGAACATTTATATATAAAAATAAAAGGTCAACTAAACTAGAAATGGAGGGTAAGAGGAGACAAAGATAATAAAGAAAATAATACGAAAAACAATTTGAAACCTAATCGCTTGTTATTATACCGATTTACTGGTCACAAAATAAAGTTGAATCTAAAAGACGATTTCCAGTTAGGAGGGACCCACCTTTCGGTGGTGGTTGTGTTCTCTGAGTTAGATAATCTAGTTGCGAAGTTTTTAATAGATGTCCTGGAAACTTATAAATGGAATAAGCACTGAAGATGTCCAAAATGATAATGAAAGTTTGGCAGAAAATAACTAGCGCAAATAATACATATTCCACCAAAAGATAGTCCTAATTAGATACTAATAAACATATATTGTTCGTGGTGTTGCATTGTCAGCTATTTTTAATTACATAATTACATGAGTTATGAGTATTAAAGAGGGATTGCAAGACCACTCATTTGGATTTGTAATGTACTTACTAAGGAATTTTGAGAAATGTGTGGATTCACATGACCTGTTGACCATGGATTGAATAAAGTAAAGATATTAGTAAATTTATTAATGATACGCCGTGTAACATACAAAAGAAAAAGTAAAGAAATTATGTTTATTGAAATGTTAAGGTTTAAGTTCTTTTGAGGTTTTTACACAAATTATTCACAAACGATTAACAGCTGTTACAAAATTTCTAAACGTTGCAAAAAAGAAACCGATAACCATGTAACATCATATTTGAAATATGAAAAAATCAGCTTAAGGCATGAAAACGATAACTCACATCACGTCGTAAAGCTTTATGGAATGTTTTCGGTAGCGTTTTCTGGTTTGATTTATAAAATCGATGATTATAAGGAGCAGTAGGTTCCATAATGAATTGGCCTATTTTATACGAATAATTCGGAAAATGAAAGAATTTGTATAAAGTGATTTAAAAAAATAGTTCAACGGTGTTAAGGTACGATGACACCAGATCAACACAATGGAGATATAATGAGAATTTACGAAAATTTGTCAATTTGTAACTATATAAAATATATATTCACGAGTACAAATGACTGATCACTGAGTGGTAACTAGTGTCATGTTTTTTCAGTCACCTTAGTGCTAACCGAAATCTATTGATGAAGTTCCAATGTCGTCATTAGTCTAAATAATTCAACATCATGTACACCATGTAGAGACGTTAAGTGGTAGGAAGCAGTCGACAGGAAACCCTGGACGTTCATGCTAGTTGGAAATTGCCAACAAGGTGTTCCTGACTGACTGATTACAATCTTGAGAGAACTGATGCTCGTCAGGGGATTTGGACATGTATCACCCAACTTTATAGCTTGAGACGTTATGATTGAGCTATTCAGGGGGAAACTGACCTCCAGTAAGACTGAGACTATAGTAAAAGGAACAGCAAAAAGGCAACTCTTACAATTGTTTTTATGACGACCTTTTAACTAAAATTAAGAGAAGCATACAAAAACCTGATGTATGAGTATAAAATACAACTGCAAGTCATATTGAAAACAAAAGCAATATTCAATGTTAATTAAATAATACGAAACAAAGATCATAATTATAAATAAAGTGGTATTGTGAAAATGTCTCTTCAAATAGTTTTACTTATTCAACATTACTCGAAATCCCAAAAGAGCAATCATTTGCACAGTTTAACAGAATAATTGAATACCATTTAGCTATGTTTATAAGTATAAAAAATAATGAAATATATTTAAGCAGTTTTCTGGCCCATTTTAATTTTTATAGGTCAACCAATTCTAAGGCTGTTGCTTGTAAATACATGTTATTAGAGTATTAGTTGAATAACACAACAATTTCCAATTTCATTATCATCTACACGTTCTCTATAGAGATTTGAGGTATACACTATTTACTAGTACAAATTCTAAATCACAAAGACACGTACAGTTCATAAGCTTATAAATTAAAATCAAGAAAAATATTAGCATTCGGCATTGTAATAATAATATTACCTATTTATTTCACTACAAAATCATGAGAATAACTCTGTATGGTGTTGGAGTTAAACAATGCAACGTAGGATTCAACTCAAATGTGAGTCGGACAAAGTTGCCACGCCAAATTTAGTATAATGAGGAGATATGGCAAGGATATTGAAATATTAAGAGTATTGTGCTAATAACTGAGTTATAATCAGAAAAAGAAAAGAAGTCGCATAAAATCTATCATACACAATGTAACAACAAGTTCCCCTTATATTGCCGCTAATTATGTTAAATTAATAAACAGACTGAAGGGGAGTGTCGTTGGATGGGCCTCAATATTATACAATTTATTTTATTTAATCTACATAAAACTTAGTACCAATGAAATATTTTTAGGGGCACTTCTTGAGCTTTTGACGTAGAGGTCTAATCCACAGGACAGTATAGCAACGTCACGAGCTACTGTCTCATAGTAGTGGGTGATCAAAACAAGGTTCATGGGCCACTCATGCCTTTAGGATCCTGAAGATCTAGTTCACTACATGTTTAGAATCACGGTTTTCAAACTCCCCTCGGTGGAAATTCCGCACCTCCAACTTTCGTAAACAACATCCCCCCCCAATTGAAGACAATGGGAAAGGCTGTAAACGCAAATTCCTATGAGAAAGTTTCAAGAGAATGACAGGACTCTCCTCAAAATCGACCATCTCAGGGCCGATAATCATAAACACACGCTGCCAAAGAGTGGGTTACATCGGTTTTTAAAAGAACTAAACAACATTTACGTTCTTTACAACCTGAATAACACACCTTAGTTATATGCCGCAACCACACAAGCATCAAGGACACTGGTGGACCATTCTACTTAATTTGTAAAACCTTTCGTTCTCCAACCCGCATAATCTCTATCTTCAATTTTTCTTAATATGATATACCCTTCGATTACGTATCTGTTTGATTTCATTTCTTTGTGCTGCTGCAGTAACTTGGGCCAATGTACATTTATATCTGGCTGTGTTGATTACAACTGACTGAAACCACCATAATTCATTGCATGTTTTGTAATAAAAACAAGTTTTAACAGGATAACCATTAGACATTGATTCAAATTCAGATGGATGAATTTTTGCATCGACAATTATGGAATTTCAAGATTAGAAAGTGATTAACAAGCTTGATAAATTTGCAAACAAATACACTATACACAAAGTGAAGCTTCAATATTTTTTTAGCAAAAGATTCTCCATTTAGCCTATTCATGTACTTATCGGTTGTTAAATGGTGCACCTCTGTGCTGAGTGGCTTATATTTTACATGTATATTGCCTAGGAAATCTGTATTGATTAGAATGTCTACACGTTTACCTATTACCAACTAAGCTAAATGAGTCAATTAAGCATCCAAAAAAGTAATGTCACATTACTATTAGCTCACTTTTATAAAGCACTAAAACTTAAAAAAACTTCAACACAATAACACTGCGCTTACCTCTTTGTTCGACTGGAAGTGACTCTAAACTTGATTCAGAAAGAATACATTTTGTTGAAAAATTAACAGACAACGGTTCAACTGATATATTTTCAATTTTTGAAGACAAACATGCCAACATGATATTTTCTACATTTTTGGTTGTGGAGTCTTCTGCAACCTGTGTGCATTTGATGAGAGCAAAGTATTAAATGGAGAGAAACAATAACAAAAGAAATTTGTAGTTTTACAACTCAGCTTGACATTAATTAGATAACGATTTAAAATCAGAAAGCACTAGACACCTTGTTTAGTCCAGATGCTGAACTCCTCAGTAACGAGCACCTAAAACCAAACAAAAGACCGAACCTGGGACCTTTAGGCACCGTGGTGAGCGCTCAATCATGAGACCACTGAGATGCAATCCAATGTTTAACATCATCAACTTTAATAAGTTCGCGATATTACACCACCACCATCGTTGGTTAAGGGTGAGACGTGTCTAACACGCGACATGGTCACGACTTCGAAATAGGATTCCAAGAATTGCTTCTGGACATTAGTAAACAGTAAGCACATTGTGATTTTTTAGCATAGAATATGAAAGACCTTTATGCCAGAGGATCGTTCCCTAGTGAGGTAGAAAATATTCAGCACTGAAAAGTAACATATCAAAACGAAACAGATGTCCGGTGGTTTCCGGTTTAAATGGTTATTTAACCAAATTCAGTTCGTGAAGTAAATCACGGAACCGAAAAACTTCTATAACAAAATGACTCCAATATTGGTAATTAAAGTCCCAAGCTTACTGATTCGGTTACAAACAATTTGATATGATAAGATATTACAAAATCTAAAATTAAAATACAGTACAACACATTGAGAAAACATTGCTCTGCAAATCAGACGAAAATTAAGCCAAAGTGAATGTTTAAGGATAAAAATGAAAAACATCGGTGATTAACAAGGGGAATCTGATGAACATGAGAATTTACAGATTGGCAGTGGAGGAATATTCTGAACTCAAAACAACTATCAGTCAACACCAAAGTCAAGATTTTCAATGCAAACGTCAAGACAGTTCTGCTGTACGTAGCTAACATTTGGTGAATTACCATAACCATCATCAAAGAAGTATAGGTATTTATGAACAGTTATCTGTGACAGACACTCCATATCCGTTGACCAGATACTAACTATAACCTACTGTTATAGAGGACAAACCACCTTGGAGCTGGTGTTATAATGGGCGACGTCCGAAATCTGGTATTGATAGACGAGGTGCCACGCGCTAACACTTCAACTGACTACTTGTGTGAGTATATATATATACCCCTTAGGAAATGGAAGATGGTTGAACAGTTTAGTGAATTGAGGATTGTAAATAATCGGATTCCGGCTCAGTGGTCTGAAAACAAAGCTCTAGTCATGAGGCCTTCAAGATCTGAGATCAGTCGCAGATGGAGTCGTGGAGTCCCATATTAGAACGAAATAGCAGACTAATGTTTTCTAGTTTGTAGTGATCATCCAACTAATATCAGTAAGTGATGAAAACCATGAAAAACAATTTAATTCTAAGGAACGCAAAATTCAAACTATATACGAGGATTATCGATGGTAAGGTTATGTATCTGATTTCTAGAGATAATAGCTTAATTTACTATTAAAAAAAACGTGACTTACTGCTTCACTGGGTAAAGTTGTAACATCTGAGGAAGAAATCTCCTTTAATTTGCATGCTAACTTCATATTTTCTTCCAAGTTATTGGAATGGTCATTGTTAATTAACTCAGGTTCAATGGTACATTTATCAGAGTCAGATTTATATATTGTAGGTCGATGACCATCAGCAGTATCAGTATTACTTGTTATCACTGGACCATTCAAATCTGATTTTTGTATACATTGTGCAGCGTATTCATGGAGCCATGCCATAATTTCATTATTTAAATCGGTCAATTGTTCTAGAATATCTTTTTGCAGATTATATAGAAATTTGGCCAATTTTATAATTACCTCAGTACTAGATTTATAATTAAATAGATAGCAATATAAATAATACTCATCAGATAACAAAGTATTTCACGACAGAATAACATTTAACAATAGGATATGAAGCGGACGTGTGTTTGTCCTAATTTCACTGAAGCGAGTAGTAACTAATAACAAATAATAAAACAATACTAATAACCGAAGTTCTGAGATAACATGTCGATATTCCGTAGTTACCAGGTTGTGATGGAAGAAACGTTTTACAAATGGATACTGTTTGACTATCAAGTAACATTACAAGGCAGTTCCATGTTTTCATTTACGAAGTGAATGTGCAAGGAGAGTGAATATTCTGACATGTAGACCAAATATGGGCCAGAGAGCCTTTGCCATTTCATGTACTATCTATATTTATTTTACCCTTGAACGTATTGTGAATACGTGTAATTCAGATTGACAGGACCCAAATATCGGATGCGGTGGTTAGTCTTTAATAAAATCTACAGTAAATCATCAGCCACCCGGACGCATGGGGTTGAATCTAAAAAACAATTAATTATCAAAATGGGGGGGGGGTGATAAGCCGGATGAATAAGGAGCGATAATCGTGTTTCAAGAAAATTTAGTATGTGACGAATGTATAAGTAAGCAGATGTACGATTAGTATATATTTCATTTACCCAAAATCATCACGCATATATCCCTGTCTCGATCATTCCAGTAAGTATGGATTACTTATACTCATACAGTCATTCAGATATGGCATTAAAACTTCCTGCACATTATAAGTCATCTTATTCTGCACTGCCAGTTAGAAATGCATTAAAAAGCGTGGATTGACTGTCAGTCATTCATGAGCAAAGTAGAACATGATATACGTGTGGATCTGTTTAAATTACCACACAAACTGAATCGGGTCGGAGAACAGCATATACTATCTCCTGTCATTCATGAGGAAATCATTCATAAAATGTCATCACAAGGGGTTTTTTGTGGAGATTCAGTAATTTTATAGTTAAGATCATGTGTCAATTGAAGCTAGACCAGCTCAGTGGTCTATTGGTTAAGGGCCCTGGCTCGAGACTGGTAGGTCCTGGGTTCGAACCTCGCGAGAGCGGGTTCGTGGATGCGCACTGCTGAGGAGTCCCATAATAGGACGAAACGGCCGTCCAGTGCTTCCAGGTTTTCCACGGTGGTCTAGCTTCAATTGACACATGATCTTAACCATAAAATGTCACTTTGTGGAATGCATCACTTAATCATGAAAAGCAATGTACCGTATTTCAGGAAATATTCGCCCATGATAATTACAATTTTTAGTTACCATCAACTAATATTTTATACATAAATTTAAATAAACTAGTGTAACAGTACTGTACTGACATACAGACAAGTTCAAAATAGAAATGAATACCTTATCCTACACTGATACAGATATACACATATCATATGAAAAGTTGAAAAAAATATGAGAGATATTACTGACTTTATCGCTATGGTATAATTACTCCGTAGACCTTCAATTTTCAATCCTCTTTTGTTAGAACGTAGCAAGAAATGAATTGGTTCATTTTTATTTAGTACTTCAGTAGCACTAGATGTGCAATTATCTGAGAAAAAACGAAACAGATGTGGGTAATTTGAAATTTACATAGTCAAAAGAGAAACCATCAGGTGAACGAACTTTAAAAAAAGTTTTATGTAACAGATGTATTGTGGATCAGATGCACATTTCGTCTTATTTGGGATTGGTCAGCCAGATGTACCTTCATTCCAGTAATAACATTCATATTGAGACTCTATCCAAGTAAATTACACTCAGCAAATAATTCTTTGAAGTTTGAAACGAAAGGTACTGGGTTTGAGCTTCTGTGTGGAAATCGACACTAGGATACAGATATATCCACGTGATGAGTTCCAAGTAAGACGAAACGCGTGTTTTAGATTCCACTGATAACGACGATCACAGTTCAAACGGCTTTTAGAGGAAGTTTAACCATCTTTGAATAGCTATAAATTGTGAGCATTGCTATTAGACCTTCGGGAATGCATATTCCTAAGCAAAGGCCTTCTATTAATCTATCTAATCCCCTTACTCAATCGTTACCGAAGTACGTAGTATTTGCACTGAACTATAGATTACAACATACGTTACAAGGTCTAGAATGAGAAAACAATAAAAATAAGAGACAATATATTGGAGTAACACTAACTTGAAGGATTTTGCTGGTCAGACACATAAATGTCCTTGTCAGGGCTACTTTTTATTGCGTATGCCGTGTCCAATGGCTTGCTCAGACCATAAACATCTTCATTTAATGAAACGAAATTGACTGGATCGGACAATTTCGCTTGCTCATGTGTAGGTAATGGAAAAGATTCAAATAAACGCAGAATAGCGCCAATATGTTTTTCGAATAAATTCGAACGGAAATCACACAAGTGCCACTTGAAAGGAAATTAAGAAAAACGTTATTACTTAAAGGACCTTGTATTTTTAAAGTTTCACAGAAATACCAGATGGACAGGTTTTCAAAAAAAGTATTACGGTATTACTTAACGAAATATTGTAAATATAAAATCTGTGTCTTTGTTAGCGTTAATACAGATGCCTGCAGTAAATCCGAGACCGATTTTCATTTCTAATAAAGTAAAACAGATTGGCTCATCATCCGTCAATTCTAAAAGGTTGTTTTGTGAGTGTTCATCCGGAAACACTATGGCATCTTCTGATTTGGCCGGCGTTAATGTCGTACTAAGAGTCAGAGCTGAGACAGCACTGATCGACTGGATCCCCATTAACAGTAGTTTATGTCCAGTTCGATTAGAAAGCTCCATCAAAGTCAGTAAACATCGGTGTGGAAAACGATATCTTTTCGTTATATTTACCTATGCCCTAAACAGAGTGCAACCCCAATGCAATCAAGGATGAGTTTTATCAAAAGTTAAGAAATCTTCTTAAGAAAGCGCGTTTCATAAATATCTTAGTGTCAGCCGGAAATTTGAATGCCCAGATTGGGTGTCTAAGTGTTCATTAAGGACTTTCTAGCTGCAGGTTAGATAACGACTGTCTCCCACAGCTCATGCAGATCACAACCAGTTTCTGGCTACCATTATCTACTGATACACTACTCGTTGTCGATGTGCTACTTGGCGCCCTCAATTTCCATCTCAACCGTGGTCTCAGATTCATCACACTGCGACCAGCAACCGCTGGAGTGGTTGTGTACAAGATTGTTGCTACTTTTGGAGTACTTGTCTGAACTCTGATCATGCCCTACTTCGCACTAACCTTGTCTTACGTTTCAGTAGCCAGTAAATTCGTCTTCTTAAAAGGATCAATGTAAGCGTATTAGGGCTAGGTTCAGAACTAGCTATCAACCTACCCAAAAGTATAGACAAGCACTGGTTGAATTAACATGGTCGCATGAAAACGTCGAGCAAAGTCGCTTGCTGCTTCGCAAAACTTCTTGCTTATAAGCCCTGGCTTTCTACAGACAATAAATGTAGATCCTCGTGTGAGAAACTTATGTAAAATTTGAATAAGGACCGAAGAGTCATTATATACTGGTCTCGATCACTTATTTTTATTAATTTAATTATTTTTGATTGTTAACCCTTCTCCATCTATATCTTAACAATTTTATTCAGTTTTTTGTGTGACGCATGTTTATTTTGGTGCCCATTTCAACCAATATTTATGTTTGAATAAATAAATACCTTAACGCGCAATATTTGATGGTGTACAAACAGGTTTGAAGAATGTTAAGGGTGGGAAAGCCAACACATAAAACCAGTCTATGAAGTTACTGATAATTGGACTAAGACATGTTGATAGATGTAAAGTGCCTGATTTGGGTCTGCGTGATTACTGTAACCAATGACTAGTGTTTTTGTGACACAGCTCAGAATGAATCGAAATGGTGCAGATCCATTCATTTTGCCCCTTGCCTTAGATCCCATGTTTTGAGATAACCTCACAAAAAGTTGACTAGCTTTGTGCCATAATTTAGAAAAATTCATTAACATTTATACTGCACATCAAAACTGATTCGAGGACGACTAAAACGAATATATACCAGTAAATTAAGCATATTCCATAAGAAGTAATATAGGATTATATTTACCATTTTCTTAATTCTGTAATCCTTAATCAACCGGAATGCTTCATAGAGTAATGACCGGCTAGTAGTGAGCATTTCTACACACGAAATAGCTTCTATTTCATCAGCATCACTCCATACGTTTTCTGTCTTTGTTAGTAAAGATGTATCACCAGTCGAATCTTTAGTATGAGATGTTTTCAATGAAGTAGAACTAACAGTATTTATTTCCGCAGGATGGATTAGAGCTGCATTACGAAGTGCTGAGTAAACCTGTTCAAGGATATCATCTGCAATGCCTGAAATTGTAACAAAACACCGCATTAACCACAAAACAAATGTAAATCGATCAGAAAATAGTCTGTGCGCAGATGTAACGTGTTGACTGGCAAGTGAAAGTTTAATTCCAACAGGTCTATGAGTTAAAAGAAAAACAAATATAAATTATAACTTACTAAAGCATTGATAAATTGATTGACGAAAAGGAGAAAAACATTTAAATAAACCATTTTTCAAATTTGAGAACAAACAGCTACGATAAATAGTCAATGGTTGGAAAAGTTGATAGTTGAGCTCTGTACAGATTCAAAATAAATGGAACTCAATGATGAGGCGGGGACTTGGGAAAGGACAAAACAATACAAAATGAAGTTAAAATGATCAGATTCATATGCATCGGACGGAGAGATAATTACACATGCTACAGAAATACCGGAAACGTATCAACATTTTAATTGAAAAAAGTGAATTTATTCAGTCATAATCACATTGTATCAAGATATAATGGAGCGCCGAGGTAAATAGTTTAATTAGACATAAATCGTGATTTCTAAGGCGTGTTGTATATACGTAGAGGATATTTTAATGTAGTAATTAGTAAGGTATAAGTAACTCAGGTATGATTATTACTGGAGTTTCGACGCAAATATCGGCACAGGGATACAGACAAATGCAGAGGATGAGTTCCAAATAAGACAAAACGCGTGTTTAGTATTGAACCAATAGATACTTTCAAGAATTTAATAAAAATTAATGGTGCCATTTGAAAATGGGGAATCATATGACTAACACAGGAAATTGTAAAAATGACGATCGATATGATACCACCATGGAGATACCCGAAACAGAAGGCAATATGACGAGTTCAAACTATACCAAAAGATTTTTTAACAAAATGCAGAGTTTATTGAGACACAGATTGAAGACGAAAGTGTGAAATTGAAATAATGGACAATAATTAATCAACTCCATTGAAGAATGAATGATCTATACTTCCCATATCTTACAATCGTTTATTTGTTCAATGACTTATCGCCACATTTATTCTCGCGTTAAATGTTTTATATATAACCATCTTATTTTGTTAGATGAAAAACACCTGTTCTTCTGACTAGTGATCCTGTCATTGACCTCAGTTAATCCAAGGGTTTGAGTCAATAGTTCTATCTTGTGAGTAGCCATCTGTCGGCCACATAGTATCATGGCATTTCATCTGTCGATCAACAATCCATTCACTTATTTAACAATTACAAACCTTATTTAAATCGTTGGACTTCTCCGCTATAACAGAAATTTGTAGGTATTTTTTTAGTTTGAAGCGTCTTTGAAAATCAGACGCTAAGAATAAGAGTTTTAAGGCTCATGCGGTTGACAAATATTTAGATGATAATTTTCAAAAATACGCTTTACAATAGCATATATTCTAATTTTTAGTGAATATACCATTTCCTTAATACATGACTTTAATTGTTGAAGAATATATTTGACAGAGACCGGAGATGTGTCGATTAATGCCAATCACTGCTTCAAAAAATCATTATGTTACTTTAAAACGGTGAAAATGTATCAGCATTTTTATAATTTAAGTGATAACCCAACAAATAACGAAAATAATGAATTAGTCCATGGATTATTTTTTTACCGTAAATCATCTTCATATGTCGGTTGCATAACTCGTAAACATGCACTGTCATTATCATTGTTACTATCAGATGACTTAGACAAAGAAGACGAAGAGCAGGAACCAGATGTAGAAAAAAAGCTTGAACAAGACGAAAATTCCGAAGAAGTTGAATATAATTCCCACTTTTCAGTTTTTTCATCATCTGAATCGCTGAATTCTGAGTCGAAGGAATCTTCATAATCTGTAGAATCATCATCCTAGTAATAAAATAATTGAGACAGTAATACATCAAAAATAATGAGTTTGAAATAGTAAGAATTTGTAACTCAAGAGGATGACATTGTTGAAATTCTACACATTTGGCTGCTGAGAGTAAATCTTTAATGGTGATCAGACAAAGCTTCTACAACTCTAAATGAGGTTGAAGAGTATCAGTGAGCTATGTCGACCCCAAGCATAAGGTACGAGGTAAAGATGGAAAGTCCGTTGATAAGGTATTGAATCTTCAACAATTGAGGTGGCTGGTATATATGCTTGTTCGTATTTAAAGTTGAAAACAGTAAAAACAATTGAGTAATTTACCGATGTGGAACAATTTTACATTTTCAGTATACAAGTTAGAAATCAAAATATTGCCTTAGTTGTTTTGGCTCGGACAAACAGGTGGTGTAGTAGCATTGGTTCTTTGAATAAAACATATGACTTAACTGAAACTATTAACCGATCAATGTTAGACCAATACCACCTTATACCTAGTGACTGTGTTACATGACTCACAGAGTAGTACGATGTCACTTAACATAAAATATTCATGTATATGATAATTTTGAAGAATAATAACGTAATTTGTTAATCAACCAAGCACTTATGTACTCAGTTCTGAATCAAACACTTTGCATGACAATTTTTAATATTATGAAGCATCTCAAAAGCCGAAGTGAATGTACGGTCGCACCTAAATGACAACTAAATGTTACAACTAGTAAGCGATTGTTTCTTTACAAGGTTTTGACAAATGTGGGATTTAAATAGCCTCATACGATAGCAAGTACCATGTGTACTTGTTTTCCAAACGACCATACAACATTTAAGGTTTATCTGATAAAAGCACTCAGAGTTTGGTATAAGCGTAATAATATGTGCATACTACTAAAATACTTCAGGCTCTAGAGTTGTTTACCAACGAATTTCAACCTTGTGGTTACTTTTTCATCGTTACTGGGCAACACGTAAAAGTCGGCATAACTTCCCATGACATTATCTAGACAGAAATACACTTTGTAATCTGTTTAAGATTCTAATAACCTCGATTTCACAACGTCGACATAAGCTTTACAATGCATAGAATAAGAACGACTAACTATACTATGTGCAGTATGGAATTAGCTGTCCAAAAACTGAATCGAACTAACTTACAGCATCAATTGCTTGTAAACAATCGGTACGATAAACTTCACTTGAAGTTCCATCAATCCAACGAATTACTAGTTTACCTGACTCCGGAATAATATCTTCTAAAACACCAGCAGGATAAATTGAATAATCAGTTTTACTGCCAGATTTGATTACAACAATGTCACCATAATTCATTTGATATTCTCCGGATCCAGAAATTTCATAGACACCAATTTCTTCCGGAGAACCAATAGGAATCATTGGCCTTTAATTCAATGTAGTCACATAAATTCGTATTTAGATAGTCAGCAATGGAAAGTTAATTATAGAAATGGGAATAGTAGTAGAGTTGAAATTAATTGGGCTTTTAAAAGGGCACCATCTTCCATTGGAAGGATAAAATACGATAGAGAACAATCAAATTAATCATACACATTAGTCAATTAACTATCAAAAAATATCTTACTATTTTCAATTTCACAGTTCGACAAAAACTCCACTTAGCTGAACTCATAATTATAAATAGTTATGTAATTCATGCAAGAATTAACCACATCCAAATACTTAATATGAAACAACAAACTTGGTAAACAGTTTTCTACTATCTTGAATCGGGTTGAACAATTGAGACGGAAATTCTAAAACTATTTTATAGAGGATCATTACACATTGTGTTATTACCAAATACCTAAGGTCACGGTAATTTTATATCGCTTTTGATGGTAAGATTTCATTTCGTTGCTTAACTGATGCTGCATATTCTACAGCTGCTTGATTATGTATCTATTACTTGGTTTTGCATTATATATATCCTAGTCATGTACAAATTTTGATTTCTTATTTGTGGTGCGTTGTAGTAATGTTATGATGACAATAAAGAAAATACAATAACAGAAGATAGATCTGCTTGCCATCGTTTCTTGATTGCATATCGGGGATAAGAAGGACTAGTGTATCAATTGGAATTAGGATTGTCGAGCCACTGTTTATGAATACTAGGTTACTGGTCGAGTAAGTATTTAGTCCGATAGGCACACAGAGATCTACTCATAAGCGGACTTTATTATCAAGGGATCTATCAAGCACGGAGATATAGAAATTTTCAGATCATAACATACTAATTATCAGGAAGTAAATTATGACATCAGAATACAACGTGAATTAACACCTTTAAATGCATGCGAATGAGAGAAATGAACATCAAATGGCGATCCATATATTCGGTTTAAAATGATTTGGACTACTTTGTTGTTAATATTTCTGACTGTAATTCGATCAGTCTTGGTTGGTATATGTAATTCCTGTTAGGATCCCCATGATATTGACGCTAAATCACTGGCGTTTTTAGACAGAAATAGATGGTGGTTGGTGGTAAATTACAGGACATGCGATTCACCCTATTTAGGACTATACAGCTGAATGTACCTGCATTGCATAGTTAATGTTTACTTTGGACTCGAACTTAGCACCATTCACTTCAAATATCACCGGGTTATTCACATAGATAATGAGGCCAGATAGCCACTCACTTGTGTCAGCCAAGACTGATGACATTTCAGTCGAAATATCAACAGCAGGATAATCCGAACCATTTTAAATTGAATTAAATCTCATACTCTTTGTACAAGTGAGTGGTTATTCGGATTCAGTAGCTTAGTGGATAATGAGATGGTGTTTAAAGCAAAAGGTACTGGGGTTCTAGTCTCAGTATCTACATCAACAATGGGATGCGAGTACATCAAGTTAACGAGTTCCAAAGAGGAAGAAACGCGCGTCCTGGATTTCAACCTTGGCAACATTCAGTCTATTCTAGAGATTTATAAACACTATAATTCAATTTTCTTGCATAGGTAAATTATTTTTACTAATATTACATTTACACACTTACAAGGAACCATTTTCAGAGTTTCCAGTTTTGAACCACTGAACAAGACAAGTTTGATCCTTCGTATTATAAGAAAGGGCTACTCCAAGATCTCTAGGGTGATCACAAGGCAATTCGATTATAGAGGATGGAACAGTATTTAGTTTTTCAATCGTTTCTGTAACTACTACTGAGGAGAGATCATTCACAATTGGATTCGGTGGGATAGGTTGTGAACGACAATTTTTATCTTGGAAAAATATATGGAAAATAAACAAAACGTTATAGAGATGTAGGCAGATCCTGCGAAAATAACGACAATAAAAAAGACAAATGTACAATTAGAAACACTCCTTACAACTAATAAAACACTTGATATTTCAAATTAACAAAACAGATAAGTCAGAAAATTGATGGGTGTGCAATAGAATTTGTTTTCTGAATAACTGAAACAGTAACAATGTATAGATTTCAACGTTGAAAAGAAATGTGTGCAACACTTAGGCTCAAACAAACTTACGCCTCTTAAACCTTGGGGGCATAAGCCGACAACTAAGAATCTTCAACCTACAGTTGCCCAGGTTCACCTCCCTAGTTGTTTCCAAGTGTTATTCATTCTTTCGTGTCTACCTCAAATTACCGACTCAATGTGTTCTTTAATCTACCTCTCCCGTTGGGCCTAGTGGATTCCAAGTCAGGACTTGATAATTTCCTTTACGGCTGATATGGTGAGCAGATCGGAAGTAGCCAAATAAGGTAACTCGGGTATATATATATATATATAATTTGTACATTTTATTTGGTAACCCAATATACTTTCTTGTTCACTCTTGTGTACTCGCACAAGTAGTCAGTTGAAGTGTCAGCGCGTGGCACCTCGTCTATCAATACCAGATTTCGGACGTCGCCCATTATAACACCAGCTCCAAGGTGGTTGTCCTCTATAACAGTAGGTTATAGTTAGTATCTGGTCAACGGATATGGAGTGTCTGTCACAGATAACTGTTCACAAATACCTATACTTCTTTGATGATGGTTATGGTAATTCACCAAATGTTAGCTACGTACAGCAGAACTGTCTTGACGTTTGCATTGAAAATCTTGACTTTGGTGTTGACTGATAGTTGTTTTGAGTTCAGAATATTCCTCCACTGCCAATCTGTAAATTCTCATGTTCATCAGATTCCCCTTGTTAATCACTGATGTCCTTCCGGTACGTAAAAGTTTCCATCTCTTTCAGAGCTTCTCCATCAAGTGTTTTTTGGCTGGTGCTCGTTGTATTGTATTTTAGGATTTCATTTTTTCCCTAGTGTATGTTGAAGCCTGCCGCTTTTAGGCCGGCTGTCTTTACCAGAATTTTTTACTGTATATACGATAGAAAAGCTAGGCCATCTGTGAAGTCAACATCATCTAGCTGCATCCAAGCTGTTCATTATATACCGTGCTTCCCTTGAGATGTGGAGGTCTTCATAATCTAGTCGACCACCATAACAAACAAAAATGGAAAAACCAAGCAACCTCGTCTGACACCGATTTTCACTTGGAATTCATTCATCTTTTAGACGCCTTCTATTCAGGACTTTGCGGTGCAGTCCAGCGTAAGAATTCTGCATGATGGGGACGACTTTTTCAGACACACCATAGCGCCAAATAAGGATCCACACGGTTTTACTTTCCACGTTGTTACACGCCTTCTCATAGTCGAGGGAGTTTATATATAATGATGAGTTCCATTCAAATGGCTGTTCAACAACTATCGGTAGCATTGCGATTCGTTCTGTACACGATCGATCATCACGAAATCCTGTCTGTTCTTATAGACGTTGAGCGTTTATCGAATCTTTCATTCCGTTCAACAACACTCCGTTGAAATCTGTTTTGGTACTGATTTCAGTGTCTGATCTTGCGCCTCTCCCATTCTTGATCTGTTTGATTGTCTTGCTAGTTTCTTCGGTTGTTGACGGAGTAACATCGGCAGGAACGTCTGCGTGTGTTAATTCGATGTCCATTGGTTTTAGTGGGGTTGACCTATTCAAGAGCTTTTAAACGTATTCTACTCACGTGTTCCGCTGCACTTAAATTTCAATGAGTGGTTTGTCTTCTTTGTTCTTTACTGGTCCCCCTGGTTTACTAAATTATCTTGCCAGTTTCTTCGTCGTATGATAGAGTGGTCTCATTTCCCTCCTATGCAGCTTTTTTGACTTTTATCGCTCAGTTTTCCATACATTTAGCTTATCGGCTCTAATGCTTCTCTTCACTTACTTGTCTCTGTGTACCCAACCTGTTCTTATTTAGCTGTTGTTGATTCGTTTTCTTGTTCTCTGTTAGCGGGACATAGATTGGATTGAAGCATGTTCCATGCACCATTGTGCTGCTGCACGCTGATTGGCTAATTCTTATCCAATCAGCGCTAGTCAATGCTTGGAGAAGACTCTAGAATCTTCTCATGTAAAAAATATAAATATACTAACGTATTTCTTATTGCTCTTCTAACTTCCATTTATTCTTGTTATTCAGAATATAATCTCTTCCCTGTTCAACCGTGTTCTGAATTGGGGACATGTTGAGTGTATTGGTGTCCAAGAATACTAAGCAATATGAATAGCTGGATAATAATGAGAAATTTTAACATTCTCAATTTCTTAAATCTTGTCCAAGGTATCGACAGAGATCCGTGCTTTGTGTTTGTGCTTCTTGCAACCCAGAACCTCCCGGAATATTAAAGCTATGGCTTCTTTGATCGCTCTAAAGCTGTTGTCCACAGTGGTTTCATTTTCTTTGAGTAGATCTCATAAGGCTTGGAACCTGTTCCTGAGAGTTGTCATAAATTCACCGAATCTGTTAGTGTTAAACCTTGTAAACCACTGACCGAAACCACGGGCCACGTTACTAATCAGAATCCTTATTTTAATTCGGTCTATTTCGTGTCCAATATTTACCATATAGCTTAATGTTTCTAACTTAGCCACTTACACGTCCGATCAGTATTATTGACCTTGAGCCGACAGCTGAGCTCTGTTCGGAACCTCCTCCTTATGCTCTACCTTGAGACCAAGAACCAGACCCTACTATACCTAGATTTTAAACATATGAGGTCTATATACAAACATACCGAACTCCATTGCACCATAAAATATGAAATAAAAACTATGCATAAACAACCCAAAAGTGGCTGTGAATAGAGGAGACTGTAAATAATAAAAGGGCAACAAAATAGGAGTAGTCGTAGGACAGCGGTTTGTGGATTAGCCAAAAGCTTGTAATAAAATGAATACACAAATGTAGTGATCAAGTTACTCAGTAATTATACAACGAAATTATGGTGAATAATAATTCCAAAAAAGTCCTAACTTCTACAATATTCGTCACTGGTGGGGACAGAGCACTGGATGACACTCATGGCAATCCCCTCCATTGCTTTGAAAGATGATTTGATTATCCTGGATCTATAAGATCTAATCCTCTATCTGCTCCTTGAGCCTCTTTGGAGATCATCAGCAGATTGTGCAGTCTCATTTCCGCAGTTACTTAAATATTCCTCCTGGTCCCCCACACTGTACGGGCATCCCATATTCCCACGCTAATTGTTGCTTTGGTTGTCAGAAGGGGCATCGAACTCTTGATTTCCGAAGAATATTAGCTTCCATCATGGAGCGTCATAATTCTTTTAAATGGAGACTATTTGAATCCCAGAACAAAGTTTAAACGGTTATTTTAAGTTATCTTAATAACAACAGGGTTCTCTTAAACGAGACGGGGTTCCTAACCCCATGCCCAATCCTTTTCCTTTATCTGAGGTTGGGACCGACTCCAAAATGGCTTCAGGTGGAGTTGACTGAAACGTAGATAACCATGTTTCATTTGTGATGTATTTTCGACCTTCTATCATAAACCGACTTTTCATCGGATAATACCCCAAACACTATTTGATGATTTATAATTCCAGGTAAAAAAAAAAACAGAAAAACAAAATTCAACTAAGAGATCTCTTTTCAATAGATTAACCCTTATAATTTCAATCATATACATATGATTACACGGCCTCATAATAAATTCGCAGACAATTGATCCCTTTACAGAATTTCGTTTTTAATATCTAATGGACTTTGAATCATACGCAGAGGTTACTATAGGACATTTCGATCTGTTTTACTGTTTAAAAATATATAGAATTTAATTATTAGGCTCATCAGAGAAAATAAGGTGGTAAAAACTTGAGTGACGTATTTATAATTACCTCAAACACCTGCATGTAATGATGACTGGAGGGTTGCGAAATAATTAGAAGTAAAACTGATTAAAGTATAATCTCATGATTTGATGAACAAATCCTGGATCATTAAAATAAATAAACAGAACGTTGATCGACAGATGAAATGCCATGATACTATGTGGCCGACAGATGGCTACTCACAAGATAGAACTATTGACTCAAACCCTTGGATTAACTGAGGTCAATGACAGGATCACTAGTCAGAAGAACAGGTGTTTTTCATCTAACAAAATAAGATGGTTATATATAAAACATTTAACGCGAGAATAAATGTGGCGATAAGTCATTGAACAAATAAACGATTGTAAGATATGGGAAGTATAGATCATTCATTCTTCAATGGAATGGATACCAAGTTATCAGGTTTAATTCTTCTCCCATCATATAGAAAACACATCAGTAGCCGAGCTGATGATACGCTAAGTTAAGAGTAAAACTTATCACGAGTATTGATTGTATAAGAATTTTCCTCAATGGTTTAAGTAATAGTCTATTGAGAAAGACAAAAATACCGTACGATTGAAAGCGATAAACAACAGTTACCAAAATGAAGATAATACAACAGGTGGTTTCTCCAAATATATCCTTTAGAATTTAATCGAAAACTTCAAACTATTCAACTGGTATTTCATAAGATAACTTTGAACCTCTCCGCTTTAAACTTGTAGTGTTTACTAGTCAACAACTAATAACGGAATACTGACGATCCAAAAAATGTCTTGTATATACGTAACACAACATTAGTGTAATCTATAACACATACAAATTATTGATATACAAATTGAGAAAACCCAAATTATTCTCACCACTTTTTAAAGAAACTAAAAATCCAGGAAATAAATAATGCTCTGTATGTCCACCAAACGATAAAATCTTATCAGAAGTAACACCTTTCGATACAGATCCATCAATCCATTTTATATCATACACTGAATTAGTTGCATAAATTCGTAAAGGCACCCAATCGCCAGCTCTTAAATGAATAGCGCGTTTTTCTTGAATATATTCCGCTTGTCGACGAAGAACACGTAGACGCCTTGAATGTTTTGATAACTTCGTTTTTTTGCAGAAGCGTTCTCTTTTTTCCTCGACATGAGTGCTATCATCATGATTAGGATCATCACCATCAACGATATTTATTTGATCTGATGGTAAAGTAGTATTCGTTGTAGATTTGTTTATTGCAACATCCGACGAAATAATATCCACTGGCGATAAAATAGAATTTTCATTTGTATTAGTATCATTGGCATCTTTCGTCGCATTAGTAGTAGTGCTAGTGGTACAAGGAGTGAGAGTTGCTGTGATCGGTGTTGGTTCTTTCATATGATCAATTTGTTTATGTTGTTGATCGTTTTGATCCTGTATTTGTGACTGATGTTTTGTTCGTTCTAGTGTATCGTTCTCATCATCATGGGGATCACCATCGTGATCAGAGACATCAGCACTAATATCAATGTATGGAGTGAAAGATGGTGTTGATCTATGAAATCTGTGAGCCCAATGAAAAATATCTGTGCGAGGAATACGATGTCGTGGATCCACAGTTACTCGCCTACGACGACGTTGAGAAGCAAATAGATTAACCTGTGCCTATAGGAAAGATGAATGGCAAAGCAAGACTTGACGAAGGAAAAGTTAACAGAAAGTAGGATACAGGTCATAAGTCAACCAGTAGTTTTCCGAAAATAATTTATAGTCATGTAAACGATGGTGTAAATGGAGATGTAGTTTTAAGGCTATTATTTTTACTTACTGATCAACGGTTATGACTTAGTTAACTGTAATCTATCTCGTCTATCTAGATCTTTAGAATTTCCCCGTATACGAAGGGCTTCAGGTGATAGTCTTTCACTGAAGGTAAAGAAATCTTTTTGAAGAATTTCCATTATGTCGATATTAACGTTATATCTTATTCCCGACGAATGTAGTTCTACTGCTGATTTGTTCCAAAGCTTTTCGAAGTCTTTCCAGAATTTATGAAAATGTTTCAAGCAATCTGCAGTCTTTTATTCTTATTCATCTGCCTAGATGTTTCTTCCACACATAAGACATTACATTTACTATATGTAGTATCAGTCCTTAATATCAACAACGCAATAGCTTAAACCCTTATCAATAGCGATATATATATATATATATATATATATATATATATATATATATATAATACTTATTGAACAAATCGGTGGCTATCTGAACTCAGTAGCTTAGTGGTTAATGAGATGGCAGTTGAAGCAAAAGGTACTGGGTTCCAGTCTTAGTATCTACATCAACCATGGGGTGCAAGTACATCAAGTTGACAAGTTCCAAATAGGAAGAAACTCGCTCCCTGGATTCCACTGTTAGCAACAACCCATCTGTTTTAAATATCTATTACGGTCTTCATGAAAATAAGGACAGCTTCCTTGACTAAAAAACTTTTTCGAGTGTATTTTTAACTGGTCTGTATATTTTATCAAACACCATTAATGTTTACTTTCCTATTAATTGTACGATAACTTTCCCCTACTATACTAAAACTTTTGTTATAAATAAATAAATACTCAACATATGGAAAGCTGATATACTACCTTTTTCTCACTCTTTATTCATTGGTCAAAAATGGAGTGACGTGGCATGAGACTTCTAATCTGGTAATTAAATATCAAATGTTTAGAGCATCCAACACTGCAACATCGTACTCACACTTAAGTGAACGAGAATTAAAAATATATTACTAATATAAGTAGATGATGGAATGTTTTTGAATAGTATAAGAATATTCCAACCTAGAAAAACTTACCCAAAAAGGTGTTGTCCTGCTTGGCATTTTTTCTCCGGCTATTAATCCTGAACTTTTCAGGTTTGTAACTGATGAGGATTCAACAATTGACTTTCCTAGTTCGTTTTTACTAATGACACAATTTCCATTGAATTCGTCCTGATCTGTCATCGGTTTGTCATCATTCAGTAGATAATATGGAGGTGAAAGTGAAAACCCTGCTCCAAGACTGGAAATATCGTTCGTGAACCATTTATATAACAATTGCTCCGGTCGAGTAAAATTGCTCCTTGAAATTATTGTGTTTTTTTTTCAAATTGTGCATAAAACCAATTAACACAGGTAGATTATGTATACGCAAACAAATATCCCAACAGTTTATTTACGGCGTTTAGAAAAAAAGTTCTTTCGATATCAAATTAAAATATAAAACGAGAGAAAATGAACTGAATCAACAACAAAATAATATTTTATCACCCTTGTTATGATTTCTTTTTTGTACGATGGAACCCCTAAAAGTAAGAAGATCTGATCCGAAAAGCGTGGCTGGAAGTGGTGTACACGGATATGGACATGGTTACTACGTTATAATAAAAATTAGAAGTATTAATTGAAAATAAAACAGTTTAAATCCCTATTAATGATCTAGACTAACACATTTGTTGTGGATTATAATATGATGATTCGGTGAATGAGATAATAGGGTCCAGATTGATAGATGATATGGTAATGTGACCGAGTGATAACTAATTACAATACCAAACTATGCAAACGTCTCATCCAACGTGAATGAACTGACATCGAAAAACAAAACAACTAATAGATGTTTCCTCTCTGGTAAAATAATATATTTATTTACAAAATAAACACAATTACATGACGTAAGCCAATGGAGGATATGGGATTTGCATCCCAATCACTTGTTAACAAATCGTAACCTGATTCGCTAAGCTTATCCTAACAAATATACTATTAATTTATTAGAAATACACTTTAATAATAATAATAATAATAATAATAATAATAATAATAATAATAATAATAATAGACAATAAGTACTTTCATACAAGAATAAGCATCATTTTAGACTTTCAGTGGTGTTTTCACTACGTGACGAAATTTTTCCACATAGATACCCCTTTTATTTCCAATAAAGTAAGGTCCACGTCAGTTCACGGTCTATCCTAGTCTACAATTTGTGGTTTGTTCGTAGCTATGAGAGTATGTTTCGGAAGGAGCTGGGAATTTCTGTATTATTTCTTACATACAACACTACTACTTCTGCTTTTCATAAAATAACATATAATTATTGAGAATAAAATCGTAAGAAATCAAAAATTCGTCGCTTACGTATTATAAATTTTATCAGAATCCTGCAGTTTGTAGTACCAAATATCACCTACTTGGCAGTTAATAAAGGAGTTTGAAATGACTGATTTTAAATTTACCAAATCCAATCCATGAATAACACGTGGAGGTGGTTTGTCTGGTTGTGAATTTCTTTTACAAAGAAAAAAAGACTCATAAGTGAAAGTTTAAGAAGGTTTTTTATACGTCGATTATCAAGAAATGTTCTTTTCAGATAACTCATTCAAGTGGTTGAAAAAGTAGACAAGCGTAAGTCAGTTAGTCATCAAACCATTTATTTATTTAGATATTAACTTATTTACAAGATGCGAATTCGTGTACTTGGTTATGAGTTACACTCTGAGTGTGAAGGCTAGTAATACTTTGATGTTTCCTAAACTGAAGTAGGTGGAATGAAGTTTAAAGTGCCAACGTATTGACTGAAATTCGAACCCCTTAAGCACTGAACTATTATGATTTTTATTTATTTATTTAAACACATACATATTAGTACAAAAGGGCACCAGATACATATGCGTCACACAAAATAATGAAAGTAGGAAGAGAAGGGATAAAAAGATAAGGCGGACTGAAATGTACAACCAGAAGACTCTTTCAGTTAAGAAAGTTAGAACCACTCTTTATGTAGGAAAAAAAAGAAGGTTACAGCAGGATTGCCACTGACATCTATTCTGAGCCATATCTGATAACGTCTCTAGCCACTGTGTTGCACCATCTCTCGGACCCCAGCCAGGGAGTCGTGAAGGACCAACAGAAGCTAGCCCTTTGCAGATTTCTTTCATACCACGACACCATGTCATACACTGACCTCCTCTCCGCTTTTTCCAACCAGTCCCAGAGTCGGCAAATAATGCACGACGTGGAAGTCTCTGGGACGACATTCGTAAAACATGTCCAAGCCACCGAAGTCGGTGTTTCAAGATGGTGACACCAATTGAATTATTGTCTCTGCGCCCGAACACACGATACCGAACCCCTGCATTACTAACATTGTGTTGCCACTGGATGTCAGCAATCCTTCCCAGACAACGATGATCGAACACAGAGAGTCGTCTAACATCCTCAACTCGAAGAGGCCAGTTTTCACAAGCATAGAGCAAAACTGCTCTCACCAACGCGTTGTAGATCCGACCTTTTACAGCCAGACTAATATCACGAAGGCGCCAGAGATGGCCCAGATTGGCATAAGCCGCTCTGGCTTTCATTATACGTGCATCAATCTCATCACTCACGCCACCACCAGCGCTTATTCAGCTACCTGGATACACGAACTTCTCAACTATTTCAATCTGCTCACCATCCAGGGTAAGTACAGGATGAGAATCCTGCCAGTCTTGTAGGAGTACTTTGCACTTGGTAGGTGCAAAGCACATGCCGTACCTATGGACACTGATTGACAACTGATTAAGTGCGAATTGCATGGCTTGAGCATTATCACACAGTAGGACAATATCATCCGCATACTCGAGGTCGAGAAGTCGCTCTCCAGGCAGCAGATCCTCACCGCCATTACTTACATCCATCAGAGCTGTTTCCAGGATGTCGTCGATGGCAAAGTTGAAGAGGAATGATGAGATTGGGGAGCCTTGCCTAACCCCACTGCTCGAATGGAACAAGGGAGAAAGGTGGTTGTATACCCTCACTCTGCCTGAGGTGTTCGTATACAGGGCCGGAGGTAAGTCATCTGGGTCCGGTGATTTGTAGTGTTTCAAGAGTTGGAGTTCTTTGCGGACTTCCGCCTCGTTTGGTGGATCAGTCGTCACCGGCCATGGGGGGCAGGACAAACTGGTTGATGTTGCTGGAGCAGCAGGCCAGTTGAACTGCCCTTTGAAAAATTCCGCCCATCGTTCAAGACGTCGAGAGGTGTTAGTGATTGGCATCCCGTCATCCTCATAGATTGTTTCACTCACACCAGATTTCTTGCTGCCAGTGGCTCGGATGAGTTGGAAGAGCTTCCGGCAGTTACCAGATGCAGCTGCTGCTTCTATCTCATTAGAACGCTCCGACCACCAGGCTTCTCGGTCCTTACGCAAGCTTTGTCCGATTTCACTACGTAACAGCCTTCGTTTGTGGTCAAACTCACGGTCACCCGGAGTAGACCGACGGGCTTCCATCAGTTGTAAGGAGCCAGAAGAAACCCAGTGCTTGTAAGCGGGACCCTCCGTGTCCACCAACCCGGTTAAAGCGCCGGACATTCGCTTTTTGTCCTCTAACTTTCATAAGCAACACCCCCGCCACGAGAAGGCAGTGAGTAGGACTTCCCTGGCAGAGGCTATATATTTGCGTGGCCATATGAGAGCATTTCGAGAGGTAGAGCGGACTCTCCCCACTCTCGGCCGTACCAGGGCATTTGGGGGCTATGAATTATGAATGTACATACTGCTTGAGATACCATCAACTGAGAATGCAGTAGTAGTAGAATTAGAAGTGCTCAGTTGCGTGTTAGACGTAATTTTTGTATCTGCTAACATCTGGATAAGTTTCATCTGCTGCTCAGGCAATAATTCCACTTTTAAGGGATCCATGTTTGCACCGGCCTCGTCGCCAAATTTTTATGTTCAAAGGGACTACGAGTTCATCTAATCTGTGATTTTATTATATTTATTTAAACACAAATATTGGTACAAGGGGGCACCAGACATATATGCGCCACACAAAACTATGAGGATGGGAAGAGAAGAGGGGTAAAGTGCATATAAGAAGGAAAAAAGAAGTAACAACAAGAGTTATAGAGAGTATGTTAGTGTAATAATAAGAGTAATAATGAGGGAAACAGAAATGTACAACCAGAAGAACTCTTTCAGTTGAGGAAGTAACAACCCCCTAAACATATATAGGTTATATATATATATATATATATATATATATATATATATATATATAATTTATTTATTTATTTAAACACATAAATATTGGTACAAGGAAGCACCAGATAAATATGCGCCTCACAAATCTCATTCGATTTGTGTGAGGGCTGTGATACTGCCCAGGTGCCCAGACTGAAGCATATATATATGGATAGATAGATAGATACATTAAATCCACTTACCGATTAGCGAACCAATGAACAGTGGCTTCGACAGGAGCAAAATGTTCCACACAAAATACAACATCTACACTAGATTTTAATCGAGAAAGCCAAACAGCATTATGAGCGGGTGTTTCAACTAAGAAAATAGGTGTACGTTTCAAAAGACATGTTATTTGTTCAGGATGATGAGCGAAAGTTTTGGTGATAGGATATTGTGCAAGTGCCTGCAAAAATCTAATAGGATGTCCAAGTGGAAATGTTTCGTTGGCTGAATAGGAATTGTTATAAATATCAGACGGTGGTATTGATTTTGAATTTGTTAATTTTTCCGTATTACGACATTTATCAGAGGACGAATCCACAGGTAGATTGAGAAAATCAAATTTACTAGATTTCGATGAATTCATACTAGATCTTAAGTCCAACGCGTCACCGACCAACCAGACACCTTCGTAATTGTTATTCATATATTCATCTGGCACTGATAAAAATGACTCAAAACATTCTAGGCAATTATCTCCAACAAGGAGTCTAAATATAAAAAAATACATGGAATACAGTTATGAAATTAAATTATTCATAAGAGTATTGACTTATCAATAAAAATAATAGTACACAGTTATAATACGTCAATTTAATATATTGAATTACAAATTAAGTTCTTATGTAGAGACAAAAATATTTGTAATTTCTCGAAACACAAAGAAATCAAAAAGTAAAGAGAATAAAATTTCTGGAAAGGATAAACAACTAACACATCTGTACCATTTCGATGAGTTGTTGAATTGGATTGAATAAAGTAACTCATTTACAAGGGACAAGAGTAGGATTAAAAAAGTCAGGGGGGACCAAACTTAGACATGGCATCAGTCCATGAGATTATTAATTGTTAAACTGGATTTTGCAGGTAGATACAAACTAACTGATTGGCGTCAACACGATTATTTTAACAAATAATTGAAGATAATGAACGGCGTGACCCAGAATTGGTCGCAATGGTGCAAATACTTTCACTCTTTGTGTTTTCTTAGATCTTGAATTTTAAGATTACCTTAGATATTTTATTGCTTGCACTCATTCTTCTCAAGTCATATTGTCTATTCCTAATATTTTCTATGAACAATGACACTGTTACTACATCTACTATTAAAGCATTTGGCTTGATAATGTCATCTCACTGCACTATTATGGTGTCAACTTGAACCAATACACATATGTGGCAGGTTCTACATTGCTTAAGATTGACTGATTGAATTATAGGATTATGCCAGCGGTTTAAGGCTACATGCACACTTTACTCAACAGTCATTTTGATCGCCTAAATATAAAATTGGTGGAGCAGAATTCAAACCTGGAGTAAAACATTTGAAGATCAAGTGTATTTTAATTAACAAAATAAACTTAGTATCACCATTAACTCTACACTTTTGTGTCAGGTTTTTGTTATTTATTTTTAACCAACAAATTTCGCCAATATATTTGACCATTTGTCTTCTATTCGGTAACAATTACATTCTTGCAGGGAAAACAATCGTTCTTAATCATACATTGTAATGTTTCTTTTTAATATGTTCTTTTCGAACTATTCGAAATTAAATACGATGTGAGCGAAATGATTGTTGGCCACATGAAAAAAAACACAGTCTCAAATGATGAAGGTGAACTGATGATTTCCTTGTGACCGATTGACAAATATTTTCACTAAAATTGAAAAAAGTCTCAATTATATAGCTCCTCATTTTTATAGAAGAAAAAATGTTGATAGGTAGTATATATATATATATATATGTATATATATATAGGTCTTATGATCTATCAGCTAGGAAAAATATACTATTAAAAAAGTTTTTTACATAAAAAAAGAATTAGAAAAATTTGAAATAAACTACGTCAATAATTTTCATAATAATTTTTATTCACATAAAGTACACTGTGAAAGATTAATAATAATAATATCTGACTCAAGATTGAAAGATATCATCGACAGTGTACAGATCTACTTTGTCAGTACGTGGGTCATACTTGACAAAAATTTCATTTTAAAGCTCCAAGGCGAAATTTCTAACGCGTGATGACAAGTAATAAAGGTGATATCCACGAAAAGAGGGAAGGGGTAACTTTACCAATGAGTTACTTTTTCATGAAAGAACAAAAATTTACTGTGCGGTGTTTTCCATACGAATTTCAACATTACACAAGTGAAAATTTCTAAAAAATTGGATGAGTTGTTAACAACTGGATTCCAGGTACAAACTCCGTTTACGTACTTCGATCCGGGTAACTTAACAATAAGCAGAAACACACTAGATAACCAAACTATTCGCTCATTTAAATAATAAGCAACACGTGCTGTATTATCAATAAGAAATTAGAGGCCTAACAACTTTTCCCATATTCTACAAAGCATGAAGTTTCGAATAACAAGTGTTACAATCAGATGCTTCCAAGTGCTTTAAAGTTACAGGCAAAGCTCGGATCAGTTGGTCAAAAGTATGGCAGTTTATATAACTACTGTTCATTTATACCTTACGTGTTATATTATATCGCATGATCAATGGTCAACATAATTTGAAAGCACAAGTTTATTGTGTACTTAATAATTTAAGCTATGCCCCCAATTGTCCTGGTACGGCCGAGGGTGGGAAGAGCCCGCTCTTCCTCTCGAAATGCCTCTGCCAGGGAAATTCTACTCACTGCCTCTTCGCGGAAGGGGTATTGTTTACGAAATTGAGAGGGCGAAAGGCGAATGTTCGGCGCTTCAACCGGATTGGTGGATATGGAGGATCCACCTAGGGGAGTTGGAAAACCCTGATTCCAAAGCAATAGTGCACATGGGCTCCAGTATCCTGAAGGAACAAACGGAGTAAGAACCTATTGTTGGTCACCGGCTACCATGGGACGGCACCTCCTAACGTTGCTCCACTGCTTTGTGGATTAGACCTTCATGTCATAGGCTCGGCGTGTGGCCCCCTAAGAAAACCATCTGCTTTGCTTTGGTCGTACAGGCAGTATTACATCCCTCACACAAATCAATGATAACTACTACTGGCCTCATTGTTATTGTGTAGGGCAAATGTATTTGGTGCCCCCTTGTACAAATGTGTGTGTTCAAATAAATAAATAATTTAAGCTATCGGTTGGATATGAAACTTACAGCATTAGCCTAATAAAACAGTATGTACATATATATGCACAAAATATTTTGTTTTAACTACGTACAAAATGATAGAGTTCTTAGGCGTTTTTCAGTCAAAATTATCATGTACAATATCGGCGTTTGCAAGCCATTTTATAGGATAAGGTAGAAAAACGAGTATAAATATACCGTGAAATGTGTAGAAATAATAATGACTTTTAAAAAGTAGTTAAAGAAATATTGATTAATGATAATGAAGCTAACTAATCCTAAAAGATTTTTTTTATTTAACTTATAAACTTGGGATTGAAAACACTACCAGTTACTTTAAAAACTGTTTAGAATTTTCAGATAATATCATTTACCGTGCTCCATCCAAAAATCGGACGATTGCCATAAGACGACAATCTGACACTCGACCGAGCCAACTATTCCAAATCACATAGTTTTCGTCGACATATGTGGTCCATGGCTAAAAGGCAAATGTGTTTAAAATGAGATAATAAAGTAGCTCATAGGAATATTGTTGTTATCGAGTGACAACTAATAGGTGAGCTTTACGACGAGAACCAGAAAAAGGATAACATTATATCACAACAGATTCAGGTGGCCGAGCAATTAAGAGATCCCTTGAAAAAATAACTGGTGGAACATCATCTTTAGGTCTGAAATCACAAACTTAACAACTGTCGTTTGTATACAAGCAAGTGGAGCTGTTTAAAGGTGATGTTTCACCATAAAACAAAATCTTTACGATCAAGTTTATGGCTATACAACTGGCCTGTTAGATAACAAACAAAAGAGAAATGAATTGTAAAAATTACGCTCTCTAGTGTTAACAGGACACTTGAAATTTCAAAAACAATAAACCAGCTAGATATACCCTAAACCATCAATGAAATGTCAGCACTTAGTAAAAGCTCAAAAACACAAATATTAGTTCTTCTGTTGAATAAACGAATTTGAGCATCTCAAAATGTAGATATCCTGTACATTCTGTATGATGACACATTTATAAGCGTCTCTAAAACCATTGTCAATCTTTCCAGTGTCTTCGCGAACAATAATGAATTCCTAAATGATATTGGTTCGGAAGTCATGTACGTGACCAGTAACTCCTTAAAATTCATTTCTTTCAGTTATCCAAAAATTAGTAGACCCACAAACTCTCTTCAGTTCTCAAACATTCACGGATTAGAGGGGATTCATACATATTCTTTAGATATAGTGGTTCTGATATTACCCTACTTTGACAGGAGCTTACCCTTACTGTCCCGGTCGAAAATGGAATAAAACAAGGTAGCTTCCTAGGTACCTTGCCCTTTAAAGCCTACAAAAGTAACACTTACAAGTGCTTCTGTATAAGTGAGTCTCTTATAACAGAGCATTTATTTCCTCCTAATAAGTTGAACGATATACAAAACTGTATCCGCATGGAGCTCAGTAAGGTAGCCCAGAGGTACTCAAAATGAAAGTTGAAGTTTAACTCTGCTAAACGTAGTTGGATTTGGTTTGATAATATTTTTGCTTAACCTAAACCTTACCACAAATATTGAGGTGTTATCCAAGTTTTATACAGTAGTAGACTTACAACCAAAGTATTATCAGTTTATCTTCTTCAGAACAGGTCTCTAAACAGACATCCAAGTCTCAACGATTTTCGACATGTATTCAACCACTCCTGAAATGCTGCACTTTTATTCTTATTATCGTTTGGATGGAGGATAAATTAAGGCTAGAATCCATTTAGATGCGATTTACACTTTGCAGTCTTGGAATTGATTACACCATAAACTACAGATCCAGATGCAAAAAGCTTGGGATAGATCTTTCATGGGGGCAGTGGCGAAATAAATTTAACCTTTTCCTTTAAAATACTTAAGAGACTTCTTTTTACATCTAATGTTGCGACTCAATATGCAGGAACGCCTAGTTACAGCATCCACAACTCTTCACCATTAGTGAAATAGTCTCATCCTGAATCTCCTCTATATGAATTACTTTACCGGTAAATTTCCGAGATTATGAAGTAATTTGCCGAGATTGCCTCCAGTTCACCAATATGAATGTTGACTATACTGCAGTGTTGAGTGGACATTTCGATGTGAACTTTTTTGCACTATTCCTTACAAAATTACTTTTATTCATATGTTCGCTTAATATTATGATAGCGTGATATCATTGTTTACGATATATCCCTTGGTTTCCGAGTTGTATTAAATTAGTTTCGAAATAAATAAGCTGTTCAATCTACAGAATACTTACAACTTGGGCAAAAGCTATGCCAAATCAATTGACCAAACACGTTGTGAGAATGAAAAATAAAGTGAAGTGGATCACTTACATACACACTTCTTAAATGGTCACACTGAATATCGAACATGACCTTCTGATGATCTAGTATTTCTGCATGGGCTGTCATACGAACGTTTGAGATTGTTCCGACCATTTTGGTTTCTAAGTTTTGAACGACCTCTCCAGGCATATAACTTCTGTCCAAAAAGTGAACTTCATCTGGTTTTAAATTGAGCGGTATGGAGCTACTATCAGATTTAAATCCAAAAGTCCTCCAATCAACTTTAACCTAAATTATTGTCATCATTAAAAGTTAGTACATAATTATAAAAACATATAGGATTTTGATGATATAATAACTTGACAAGGATTAGTTACAGAAGGCTAACTGTTGACTTAATGTAGGTACAACTATAGGTCGCAACTACTTTTGACTGATACAGATTTTTGAGGCGCTTCTGTTTAGGGTCGTAAAACTTTTCTATCTCCCTTCTCTGTGTTGAAAATAGCATGAGTATTGAAATATTTATGCACAACAGATTTTTTTACATTCATTAATCCGAAAGTAGCATAACCAAGTGTGAATCTTTATGCGGGTAAAGATCAGAACAGGTTGTTTATTCAGTGCCTCTCTCAACATCCCAAGTTAGCGCTCTATGTTTACTTTCATGTAGATTAGAGATCAGAGACGCGTGTTCAGGTTTGCATATATCTTCCTGAAATCGCCCCAATACTATGAAATCCAAACCTCCCGATTTTGGGGAAATTATCTACGTTTTGGGGTTTTCGTGCCATTTCCTCAAAACGGAAATTTCCCTCAGATTAGGGAGATTTGGATTCCCCTATGAGAGCAGCATTCAATAAAATCTTGGAAGATGCGAAAACCTTTCGAGCCAATGTCCACTGTTACATAATCTGATTTTTTATTAACTAATGCTACAAGACCATTATGGATAATTATGAACGATCATATTGACGATAGTCAATATGGTTGAAGTATGCTACAAGTGATCAGTGGTCACGGATCTAGAACAATCGCCAGACCAATGAGCAGAGACTCCCTAAATCGAAAAACTCCATAGACGTAAAAACCTCATCAATTACCGTATATTCATTTTCACATTTATCATGAGTAACTTCAGTGTTATTCCGTGCTGGATGGGCATCTGACATTATAACTGATCCGATGTATGCACTTTTTGTCGGTTTATGCAGATAATAAACAATATCACCCTTGAAAGCCGCATTGTGTGAAACCATTGGTATCAACAACGTCCTCGTGTAAAAAACTTCAAAATGTGCGCCTAAAGTAATCCTGAAAGGCTGAAGGTCATATAAGAATTTCAAGCACCAAATACCCATTTGCTGAGCTAAATGGAAACAACTGATTTCGCTCAGTTTAGTTTTTATTGTTGCCAATTAGTTTAGATCAACAACAGCATTCATTTAAATAAGCTTGGTTATTTGACTACTGTGGCTATTACAGACTTAGCTGACAAGTAGAGATTGACTTACTTATACCCTTGAGGTTACAAAGGTCAGTTTCAATTCATTCAATTAGATGAGGCTTAAATACATGCAGAGGACAAATGGATTTACTCGCTGCCGTCACATAACACTTAATGTGGTATAACCTAACTTTATATACTGGTTAATTTGCAGTTAATTCAATCTGGAGATCTCATGGGGAACAAAATGTTCACTTGGGTGCTCATAAGTGCTCGTGGATATCGTCTGCCACATTTACACAGTAACTCAGATCACCATCATGTACGTCATGTAACTGAACTCACTGCTCTGCAACACTTTTAGTGATGAGCTCACGTGGTCTGGTGCTCAAAACGATAAACTGTGAGTCTGTTCCTGGGGCTTTGTGATGCTCACATGGGTTTCGAGTTCGGTGCATGGTAGAATAGTGGGTACTTCCCAAGGTGAGCCTTGTACAAAAGCGAAACAAGTGTTCAGTACATCCTGGTTTATATATGTTGTATGTACAAACTTGGTGAGTGATGTAATCTCTATGAATTGATTTGTGAATTACTTGAAAGATATTGAGGCTTCGTAGCAGACAATCCACAGCCACACAAGGTTTTGTGTCCATTTTTAGGAATGGCTCACCAATCCTTATGATAACTACACATGAACAAATAAATTCTATCTGATGGAATGGTGTAGGCTGTCATGATGTTGAGTAACACAAAATTATATCAACTACCGATTCGACCACTTAACAAAGACATTTTGATCATATTGTATTTCCATCCTACCTCCGTGATTTTGCATGAGCTCCCATACTTTCACATTATATTCAAAAATAAGCAGGTAACTTTATCTCATTGCACATAATACCTAGGTGGAGAAAAAAGATGAATTACAATTCTTTCATGATGAACTCCACACATCATATGTTCTCATAATGATTAAGTACTCTTCTTCCTCACAACCGCCACCTGTTACTGTCACGGATTTACTCTGTGTCCCTGATGAGAGACCTTATCAATGGTTTACCTAGATTATTGGGGACTGAATCTTCAATAGCAATTCTACTTCGAGCTAAAGTCCAGTGAGCTCTTGCAACGAAATCGTTGAGTGGAAAGTAAAGGCCTACTCAAAAACCTAGTTTTTTTATTAGCAAAAGTAGATTTGATTTCCAGATGATGTGGGACAATAGCAAAAGTCACCTCTGTGAATCTGGCAGTCATATTGACAATGGTGTTACTTGCAAATTCTGGTATGATCTGTTCTTTGAGCTTGGGCGATTAATACGCTCACAGCTTATGACTAAATTCATATTTAGGTGACAAAGTTTTATTGGTAAATTGCTAGTTATCATTTCAAATATATTGACGTTTACAACAAGCTTTGAAGTTTAAGGTTTTAAAAGCAGATTTAACAAATACTGAACCAAAACAAATTAAAATCGAAGGGTTGAAATTGCGAGAGAACCAAGTCCAAAATTTTAGATGGACAAATGCATCCCGAAATCAGTAGGAATAATGATATTTACACTAACAGTTTGTTGTAAGTTACATACTTTGTGTTCCTCTCGTAATTAAGGGTGAAGAACTACGGTCTACTTTTTAATGATACTAACAATAATACACCTAATCCTAAAATTGTTGGTGCGTCATGATGTGACTATTTGATCAATAAGATCTTACATGAAAGTCACATCGTCCTACACATTGACTCGTCTTGTCGTAGTCATCACCGATTGGTGCATGCTGTATTGTATCGGAGAGTCTTGCTTTTCCTTTTGTTTATATTGAGATCTACTGCTGCTGAGGCTGCTGCTACACTGGTCGTTTTCTCGTGCATTTGTTGTTGCGTTTGTGATAGAAAAGCCAGATCATCTATGAAGTCTAAATCGTCCAGCAGCATCCTACCTGTCCGTTGTATCCCGTGCTTCCCTCCAGATGTTGACATCTTCATGATCCAGTCGATCACGAGGAGAAAGAGAAATGGCGAGAGTAACCAACCTTGCCTAATGCCGGTCTGTACCTCGAATGAGTCGGTCAGTTGTCCTCCATGAACGATTTGGCAGTTTAATCCATCACAGGAATTCCTTATGATATTGACTATCTTCTCAGGCACGCCGTAGTGTCGAAGAAGACACCATAGTGTTGTCCTGTCCAAGCTATCAAATGCCTTCTCGTAGTCAATGGAGTTGATGAAGAGCGATGAATTCCATTCGGTTGACTGTTTAACAATGATCCGTTAAGTTGAGATTTGGTCTGTACACAATCGATCCTTACGGAATCCAGCCTGTTAGTCTCGAAGTTGGGCGTCTATGGAGTCCTTCATTCTGTTTAACAACACCCTGTTGAAGACTTTTCCTGGTATTGAGAGAAGATCGATGCCCCTGTAGTTATCGCACTTGCTGAGATCGCCTTTCTGTGATATCATGATCAGAAGTCCTTCTTTCCAGTTTGATGATACTTGTTCTTCATCCCAAATCTTACTGAAGAGAATGTGGAGTATTTTGGCAGTTGCTGTTACATTTGCTTTCAGTGCCTCTGCCGTGATGTTGTTTGGTCCTGCTGCTTTGCCGCTCTTGATTTGTCTGATGACCATGCAGATCTCTTCAATTGTTGGTGGGCCAATATCGATTGAGAGGTTCGTGGGTGCTGCTTCGATGTTGGGTGGGTTCAGTGGGGCTGGTCGATTCAAGAGTTTTTTGAAGTGTTCTACCCACCTGTTTCGTTGTTCTTCAATGTCGGTGATTACTTTGCCTTCCTTGCTTTTCAATGGTCTTTCTGGCTTACGGTAATTTCCAGCAAGTTTCTTTGTTGTGTAATACAGTTGTTTCATGTTACCTTCCCTTGGAGCCTTTTCCGACGTCATTGTTAGATCTTCAACATATTTACGTTTGTCGGTTCTGATGCTCCTCTTCACTTGTTTGTTTACTTCTGTGTATTCGGCTTGTGCTTTGGCTTTTTCTGCTTCTGTTTGGGTGATATTGATTGTTGCCTTCTTGTTCTTCCTTTCTTCAATCTTATCCAATGTACCAACATTGATCCATTCCTTGTGGTGGTGATTTTTGCGGCCCAGAATCTCGTGACACGTTCAAGTGAGAACCTCTTTTACCCGTTTCCAGTTGCTCTCTTATGAGTAGATCATGAAAGGCCTGGAACCTATTGTTGTGGGCTATCTTGAACTTGTAGAGTTTTTCAGGATCCCGAAGAAAAGATATATTAAACTTTTGTGTTGTTGTCCGCCCCGTTGTCTAGTGGTTCTTAAGTTTTAATTTCATCTTTGCGACCAGCAAGTGATAAACTGAGGCTATAACAGCTCTTCTCTTGGTTCTCACATCCCCGATCGTCCACCTGAACTTTTTGTTGATGCAGTTATGGTCAATTTGGTCCCGTATAGTGTGATCCGGTGAAGACAATTTGGCTTTGTGTACGTTTTTGTGTGGCGATATAGTGCGTCTATGACCAGTTTATTGAAGGCATATAGGTTTGCAAATCTCCCACGATTTTCACTCCTTTCTCCCAGTCCATATCGTCTCAAGATGTCTTCGTTGTCTATTTCAACCTTGGCATTTAAATCTCCCATCAGAATGATCAGGTACTTTGTTGGGCACTTCACAACGATCGACTGCAGAATATCATAGAATTGATCTTTAACGTCATCTTTGTAGTCGTTGGCAGACGAGTAGCACTGAGTGACGTTCAATTTAATGGCCTTTTCCACTGTCTTGAAGAAGTCTTTGACAATCCTGGGTCTTTGAGACTCCCATCCAATAAGTGCATTTTGTGCTTGTTTAGAAAGCATCAATGTAAATATCTGTGTATATAGGGCATTTTCTTATTTATAGATGCAGCGAAACAGAGGCTTCCCCGGAAGATAGTCATTGTTGTCCAACATGTCCTGGATGTAATACGATTTAAATCGAGCGAACAGTTAATTCATATATTTCTAGCAGTCAAAACATTATGCTTCCAACTATAAAATACTTGGTTCGAGCTCGAACACTAATTTACTTCCATTTGGGCAGTAAGCTAGCATCATTAGCCTTCACATAAAACGTAGGCCCCAGACCCGAACACAAAAACTCTCATTAAGTCGTCTTTTAGAAATATCGACCTTCAAAATATATTAAACGTTTATATTATATTGTTTGGATAGAGGGTGTCGATAAATTCCGAACGGTGCAAATAAACAATAATGAAGCTCAGTATGTACACGTTTATTCACAAAGCAGTGATATACGCCTACAATGTAGGAGACGATGATAATACTTAACCGCCTAGGCGTGTATCTATGGGACAGAACTGATATTCGTGTTCCAAAGATTGAAGATCAAATGTTTATTGTTATGTTTGAGCTAGTACTGCCCATATTTGCAGATATAAGTAGTAATGAGTATCAATAGGAAGTAGAATGTCTGCGAGCAGACGGTTTAGAAGATTGAAGTGAAGAAAATAGAGAAGGGAACTGTAATCAATCAACATAACAATAGGAATGAAGGAACGATGAAACTTGTTAGAGACAATGCAAAGATATGCAAATGATGTATTTAATGTATGGTTTTCATAATTTACGAAGACACTCTGTAATTTTGCATTAAACAATACATTGTTCTTCCTCACCTGAATATTCGTTCACTACATTATGACTGCGGAGCGTCTAACTGGTTTGTAGTTGACATTTAAAAACCAGAACCCGACGGCATATAATTAAAACACAAGGGCTGGTGATTTGGAATTATTTGACCCCGAAAAAAAAAATAAAAATTTAACGTCATTTCACCCTTTTCAGTTTGGAGCACTCATGCATAACCACTAGTGCTCAGAGGGACGGTGTGGAGTTTAAACACAAATACACAAAATTTGTATGAGTGATTGGTCACAGAATAGTGACTAATATCATATTTGTTTGGTCTTTAAATGTTAACAGAATTTTATTGATTATGTTGCAATGTGGTCATCAGTCTGAGTGGATCGATATTTCTTGCGACATGTAATGGTGTTAGGTGATGATTTATCAGTTTCATGAAGATTGTATGTAAACCAACTAGCGCGAAACCTGGGTCCAGGGTTTTTTAGTGATTACCTCCAAACATTTAACACTTTTAACCTGTAATTAGCAAAAACGTAACGAGTTGTGTTGTCTGTGAATTCGTAAATTTAATGGTTATTCAGTTAACAGACATTTGGGGAGGAAATTTGTAAGGTTATATGGTAATAAAAGTAAACCGAGTCGACATAATATATATTCTTAGAAATATTGAACATGATAACAAAAGATCGTGACATCTATATTATTTCAAAGTAAACAATCACAATTTTTTAAGTAGTCCCAATATGAACCACAGAATGATCGCATATACCAAAAAATCGGAATACTTACGATAGATTTTTAGCATCGTTAACAGTATTCGATAATTTCATACTACTTAAACCAGCATATTCCGATGACTTTCGGTGTGGGTAGAATACTTTCATTAAATCAGTGTAAAGATCACGTGCTACCTTAATACTATCAACAAATCCATACATCTTGGCTTGTCTTTCACATTCAGGCATCCAATATGTGACTTTATTATTACGAATGATAGTAGCATAGGTTTGCTGAAAGACAGAAAAGTTAGTACACAGTGAAATAAATTATTATGTAATTAATATTTGAGTTGATCAAGTCAACAGTAAGACAGTTACTAGATGTTATGACCCACATCTAGCTACGCGAATCGAATCTTAACGAAACAGTAAACACAAGAGTAAATGCAAAACAATATTTTTCAATAGAACTTTTACTATGCCCCTAATAACTCTTGAACCCACCCTCAAACTATTGAGGGAAAATATATTCTTTGATAAAACTGATGATGATATACAGAAAAGTGTGTGAATATTTATACACTTTTTCGGTGTTTTGGGGAATAAGCTATTCAGGATGCTTGATTCCACGGTAAGTACGCGGTCCATAAATTTAAAAGGCTTAAGTTTAGAAAATCGTTTTTGCCTCATTTTGGTAACCAGTTGGAAACGTTGGATGAAATAGATCGAAATCGGTGCAAATGTATTTGCCCTTTGTCTTCTTTAGATATTGAGTTCCAGTATTCCATCACATGTACCTTTACACTCCATCTTACAGAACCACATTCTCGATCTTTAGCCTTTTGAGTTATCATAGACACTACGATTGCCTTGATTCCTCTGCTGCTTGGCCAGTTAACTTTATCTTGTTGCGTTGACCTGACATGGTGAATTAGGCTAACTCATTTCTGTGCTCAACTCCAAAGTGATCATGAATAAATGACCATAAATATACGATATTCTTTATTACAATGTATTGTGTGATTTCTGTTGTTATTTACTTACAAAATAATAGTTCACTTCATGAGTATCAATCAGATACTAAAGAATAAGGAGATCGAGCAAATCTCACGTTATAAACAATTGAAAATTATTTGTCGCACAAAAATATTAAGCCTGTTTTCAACACTGACATATTCATTACAATTATTACTGTTGTTTATTAATTTACAATATAAATAAATACCGAACTGACATGTCTAATTAGAGATGATGAACAATTGTATACAACTAGACTTTTTGTAGGGTAATTCTTGGATCTTCCAACTGGAGGATACCATAAAAGTGATAATTCAATATAGCTTCCATATGTCCACTGACGACCAATCATAATGAGATAATCCCATTCTTGAAGCTTTGTGGTTATTGACAATGCTTGACCATAGGAGTTTAGTTTACCAACTATAGCAGAATAAATTGAACAAATGCAGCACTATCATAACCACAGAATTCATGCATGAACCAAAAAGCTATATTTCATACAGAGTATAAAAGGGACTGAAATTATAATAATGTGAATATATTCATTTTTAAGTGTAGTCACCCCGCTCCGTACGAAACCTATCAGCCTCATAGACAAGTTAAGTTCAGGGAATTTTGGGCTATATTTCATGTTTTCAGAAATAATAAGAATTTATATATATATATATATAGAGAGAGAGAGCTTTAATTTTTATCATGACTTAATGTAAAACCAGACTTCTTTATAGATATGTTCATAGTGTATTCGAATGAATAAAATTGGAGAGTGATAGCAATTGAAGACTGAATAAGAAATAAATAAACAATAAGAATTCTCATCTAAATTTGAACGAATAGTTTCACAGTAATTGGGCATCCAGTTAATGTAAGACATTGTAGGGTCACTGAATATCGAACAGATCACTGATCCCTGTCAAGGTCGTGGATAGTCAACGCACAACAAACCAATCGTACGCCATGGACTGGCCCACGCGGCAGTGGTTATTCTTTCACTTCTGTACTTCCGTAGTTGTACCTTAACTAATATATTCTTGTCATAACGTCCTTTGTGTTGTACAGTCTCCATAGCATCTATTATCCTTTGATGCGTCGATGGTTCAATCCACGTAAGGGCTGGTCGCGAGGTGTGACTTCAGCGTTAATTGGTTCGTCCCCATTCTCGTCTAACTATAGTAGGCCCCCGATCATTTTGACATAGATCATCAACGTAGATGGTCTTACACTGGTGAGCAAGACTTCGAATAACGCAACCTATCATTATGTTCTTTTTTTTACATTTTGTACTTATTATTTTCCATTTTTAACTTCGGCTATCTTTATCAGTTTCTGTGAACATTCGTTGCTTCATATCAATGTTGATTAGTATTTCAACTGAAATAATTAGTTCAATCGATAGAACTAACCAATCAACTACGACTGTAATCGACTATCGTGGTTCTTTAACAAGCATTAGCAGCATGTAAATGCTCCTGTGTAATGTGTCTGTTAAAATATCAACCACTCGTAAGTATGGCCTCAAGGCAACACGTACGCATATCTGTTTGCAACTTATCCACTTGTATAACCAATACAGGATAAACTGCCGATTATTAAATTCATCTTTCTGCTTATTCACTGTCAACTAACTACTATCAAAAACTATCTACTAGAATATTTTACTTTCTTGACCACTGCCTGCCTAATTTCCAATTGCTGAGTTCCATGGCGAATCAGAGGATACAAATGCTAGAAATTTACGGTGAGTTTGAACTATAAATTGCCTGCAATGTTAGATCTTGTTTAAACTTCGTCAGGCAATTCTACGTGTTCAACCTAAATTAGACTTATTCCAATTCAGTCTACAACGTTTCCTTAATCTACGAAGTTAATCCACAAATTTCAATTACTTTGGAGCAAGAGTAATCCAGGCGAGTTTCATAATTGAGTTAGTTAATTTCGTATAATGTTTATAATGTCTAACATTTTGCGGCTACTTTCACTTAGAGTAGTCATACATTCTGTCACTGCCGTCAAATGTTAGTCGAAACTACTTACATTTATGACTTGTAAGTCAACATACTCCAAAAAAACGTATTTCATGTACACGAGCAATCTTAGTCCATGTCTTAATGAGACACTTCGTCGTACTTGATGTCACTTAGAGCTAGATAATATGCTTTTTTACGAAACGATCACGTTATCTAAACCTAAACTTTAGTTACATTGGTGGTTACCATTTAAATTAATGTTTACTATGCGCTTTTTTTGTTTGCTGTTATCTCATACAGTAAATCATGACTCGATTTCCTTATTGCACGAAAGTCACTTTAATTCCGTCTTCGGCTTATTCACATGCAATACGGGTTTGGAAAATATCTAAACGTCTTCTGAAATTCTCCACAAACCCCACGATAGTCTTCGTACATGTTTGATACTGCACATCCAATTGCTACATAAACAATGCCCAAACGAACGTTCAGTACAATTGTCAGTATACGAAATAATGTTACTTCGATGTGACATTACAACACCTCCGAACTATTGTAGTTATTCAACTTCGACGTCGTATTTTTTCATATTATGAAGTATTGTTTCCGCATGGCTGTCAGTATACGAAATAATGTTACTTCGATGTGACATTACAACACCTCCGAACTATTGTAGTTATTCAACTTCGACGTCGTATTTTTTCATATTATGAAGTATTGTTTCCGCATGGCTGTTATCTAACAGATGATTTCGGTACATCAATCGGCTGTTCAACTACTCGACGGTCTAAAGCCTGTCCAGTTCAATTGGTGGTTTGACGACACTCATTCACGCGAATCATCGGTTTACGCAGTCGAGCGCATCTCCTGCAAACTGACAACGATATTGTCGTCTCGACCCCAACACTGACAGCATTTTTCACCGATATCACTGACATGAGTCCAGAGTGACACTCTTGGTTTCTTATGTTTTTTTCGACATTTTTCGGTTCACTCATCAAACACGTGTGCAGCACTCACCAATTATCATCTTTTAGAGATTTCATCGTGCCACCTTTCGCTCTCACTCTCTATTCTTCGACCCACATTGATTTTCACAGCAGTTATCAGTTTTTCCAAACTGACTGCAAGTTGATCAGAAGCTTCGCACAAGGAAACCACGACTTATCTTCACGGTTATAATTCTGTACTTACAGTTAGTCTGTTGAATATATATATAACTAGAAATCGACGCTTACGAACGGTTGTCAGCGACACTTACTGACTTTCTACTTTGTACCAAGGGCAGTACAAACATCGGCACTGATTGATAATACACTTATCGTACTATCACTGTGACATCACTACTCTTGCGACAAACTTAATTTTTCTCACCTGAGGAACTCAGCCACTTGTCAGAGCTATATTTTTCAACGCGACTTGATAAAACTCCAAAATGTTTCTTTTTCTATCATTTCTATGGTTGATCGCTTAACATTCAACCAACGTCCTTGTTACGTGTTATTACTCGTTGTTTCCCGATCAGTTTCTGCAGCCTCCTTTCCATTTCTTTTGCAGCTCGGCAATACCCGGAGGATTCATATTAATCGTCTGGCAACCTCCGGCGCGCGACTACTCCCAACATGTTTGGTATCGACTCAAACGGCCGTTGAATCTGGTGGGGGAGTATTGTAGGGTCACTGAATATCGAACAGATCACTGATCCCTGTCAAGGTCGTGGATAGTCAACGCACAACAAACCAATCGTACGCCATGGACTGGCCCACGCGGCAGTGGTTATTCTTTCACTTCTGTACTTCCGTAGTTGTACCTTAACTAATATATTCTTGTCATAACGTCCTTTGTGTTGTACAGTCTCCATAGCATCTATTATCCTTTGATGCGTCGATGGTTCAATCCACGTAAGGGCTGGTCGCGAGGTGTGACTTCAGCGTTAATTGGTTCGTCCCCATTCTCGTCTAACTATAGTAGGCCCCCGATCATTTTGACATAGATCATCAACGTAGATGGTCTTACAACATCAGAGAAAAAATTATATTTGTCTACTTATCTTCATTCTATGAATGCCATGGAATGATTGATTCATACCATCTATGAAATCATCTGATTTCTTCAACCAGAAGCGATATATATTTAATAAACTTTTCCTAGAATCAGAACACATACATACAACTGTTGTCTTAACACAATTTTTTCCACTTTTTATACGCAATACAACAAATCTCATGAAAATAATAGGAGATTGCACACGCTAATTCCGGACGAAGAGTTCAAGTTTAAACTGCTGAATTTCTAAACCCTCTACATTGCACAAATTTTGATTCTTGTTAAATTTGATTTTGCTCGTCTTACTATATAGATTGTTTTCATGGAGGATTCTGGTGGGGTTGAGATAGTCTGGTATTAAGCTGCTGGCCGTTTGGGATTCTCCTTTTATAATCTACGCTTTGTAATGTTCTGATGTGTCAAGAAAGCATAGACAAAATCTTCAAGCCAGAAATATGCACACGAAAACAGCACATACAATCTCTCATTCTTCGATTGCTCTTTAGTTTGTCTTTTTTTGCATAGTATTCAGTTGTTAATACCCTGTTCCAACTTTTTTTAATTATTATTAAGGCATTATTATCACCTTCACGTTTATCATTTCTGTCAAATGGACAGTTATAGCCCAAATTTTCGGATAAAATCCTTTGAGATAGTTATTTATATGTAAGACTTTAGTGATGGCCTTACGTCTATATTCGTATAATACTGTACTATGAACATCTACAAAGTAATTCTAAAGTATCTGTCTTCGTTTATTCCGTAACGTGTTCACTGTTAAAAAGACTTAATTGAAAATTCAACTCCGTACGAAATAGGGTATAAGACCAAATTAGGTAATAACAATTGTTCACTTACTTTGTATTTCCCAGTTGATAAAATCACTGATTTGTGATGAAAATGGTCACTAAATCAGAAAAAGCACGTCATTTTTGATACCTCGTAACACTAGATTCCTACTATACACAAACAGATTATTTTTTATGGTTTAGGACTTTGCGACTTGATGAACACATTTTGGATTGTTAAAATAAATCGATAGAAAGCTGACCAAAAGATATGTGACCAAGTGATGACTGCTCGCGAAACAGGATTATTGACTCAAACTCTCGAATAAACTGATATTAAAGACAAGACCATTGATCAGGAGAATAGGTCTTACATATGATAAAGACCGGTCAACAGAAAAATAGTAATATTAAATGTCATAAGCCATTTGAAAACAAAATTTTGTAGGTCACTCAAATGTCAAGAGAATTAAGACCGCGTTATTAGACTAATTTTTTGTCCCAAACGTCAATTCCATGAAAAAGGATTTCTTTGAAGTGTATAGTTAAAATGTAATAATTTTAATTAAATGATTACCATACCTGATAATATAAGTTTGTCATTCCATTTATGTATAAACTCTCTATCAGTCCAACGATGAATTACATTATCACTGGGAACAATAAGATCTAACTCCATATTTTTATTGTCTAACGACAAAACATTTTCAGATTTTTCAAATTTTGCTCGATCAGATGATATTACTAATTTACTGAAATGATTCAAACCAAATTGTGCTATTTGAATTGGATACGGATAACCGCGAGAATCCCATTGTTGACTGATTGGTACTCCTATTATGTATGCATTGTTTGGATGGAGAGAAAACAGTGTCATTTAGAAATGGTACAATGCATCAATTATACAAACAAACAGGAACCAAAATATACTCGCATGCTGTAATGCGATAATTCCGCCTGTATCTCTTCTAGAGTTACTGCCGCTCCCAAGCCCAGGTAAAGGAGGAGGGTTGGACATGGGGTCGGTAACCCCATCCCGTAGAAAAAAATATTGCTCCACACACTCAGGGAGTTGCTCTGATGCTGTCCAAAGAAGTACGAAATGCATTTATAGGATGGGAATCTCATGGATTCAGGATCATCCTTCAAAACAAAGAGCAGGAGGAATCACGATGAATGTTATCCAATGTTATTCACTCACCAATTATAGCAACGATGACAATAAATATAAGTTCTATGAGAGGCTGCAACCAATCATAGCGAAGTGCCCGAAAAATAATCTCATCATCCTGATGCGAGACTTAAACACGAAGGTCGGAATGGAAAACACCGGTTGTGAAGGTTTCATGGGACGGCATGAACTGGAAGAGAGAAACGACCCTTTTTGTCTACGTGAAAGCTATAGCCAAAACAAGGACAATTCGGCTTCAAGCTTTATCTGCTTCTAAAAGGAAATATAACGATTTGATTAGTACAATTATAAAAGAAATTATAGTCAATAGGCAGAACTCACGTACAAACCGACAAGTATTGCGTGTCTTATCGAAATGAATAAAAATTAGGTCACATTTGTATAATAGGATAATAATGTTCTTCACTTGGCAGGTTACATGCAACGGGGATAATCTACAGACGCATCGGTCCAGATTGACTTGGTGGGGGCTTAAGAAACGATTTATTTAGTTATAGACCTAACTAACACCTTGAGCAGGATTCAAGACAAGAGGAACAAGAAAGCAGCAGTTAACAACAACCGAACAAGAGCAAAGAAAGTCAAGACACAAGCTGATTATACAGAAGCAAACATGCAAGCGAAGAGGAACATTAGAGCCGACAAGCAAAAATGCGTGGAATAGCTAACAACGACGGTGTAAAAAGCTCCAAGAGAAGGAAATATGAGACAGTTATATGATACAACGAATAAACCAGCAGGGGCATATGGTAGACCAGAGGGACCGATCGAGGATAAAGAAGGCAAGACAAGCCCCGAGAATCGGGAACAGAGGGACAGATGACCAGCATACTTTGAGGAACTGCTTTATAGACCAGCCCCACTGACCTCACCGGACAATGGAACAGCACACATAGGCCTTCCTATAAATGTCACTCCACCAACTATCGGACCTGACAATATACCAGCTGAAGCTGTCAAGTTAGACATAGAAGTAACCACAAGAATGTTCCACGTTCTATTCAGGAAGATTTGGGAGGAAGAACAAGTGCCACAGACAAACTGGAAAGAAGGACACCTAATCAAGATACCAAAAAAAATCTGATCAAAAGTCAAAACCACAGATTTACAGTACTACTGTCAGTACCAGGAAAAGTTTTCAACGGAGTGTTGCGGAACCGAACAAGAGACTCAGTAGACGCCCAACTTCGTGATCAACAGGCTAGATTCTATAAGAACCGGTAGTGCACAGACCAAATCGCGACGTTACAGGTCATCGTTGAACACTCAGTTGAGTGGAACTCGTCACTATACGTCAACTTCATTGACTATGAGAAGGCGTTTGACAATGTGGACAGGAGGACCTTGTGGAAACTTCTTCGACACTGCGGTGTACCTGAATTCATACGATGGACCACAGTGCAAAGTCATGCATGGAGTACAGCTGAAAGATGTATTCCAAGTATGGACCGGAGTCAGATAAAGCTGCTTACTCTCTCTGTTCCCTTTATTTTGGTGGTTGACTAGATTATGAATGACTAAGTAAGCGCCTAACTTCAATTCCATCAGTCTAGATTTTGTGAGTGATAATGATGTATCAATCAAATCGCTACACGGCCGATTACAGTTGGGTAACCAATCAAATGTAACTCATCGCCATACATCAACTTCATGGGATGAGAGAAAACCTTTTACAGAGTGAATATGAGAACTTTATAGAGCTAAGTAACTTACTCGTCCTGACTTTGGCTAAGCTAAGACTCTATGTTCGACAGTCTGGGGATTAGTTTACAGTAGGACCCGTAGAAAATTATTTCCGATAAAGTTTCTAACAGTAAATTTGATAGACCTACTGAGACGACTTCCAATAAGTATTATAATTCTGATGTCATTTTGAAGTTGACACATCATCACCCAGAATATTAAGATGAAGACCTGTTTTAAAGGAAACAACTTAAAATCAACCTCCTGATAGAATTAGAGTTAGCCAAGTTACGTGTAATCCAGTTTGCGAATGGAATTGAACTAAAAAAAGTTACTCTGCCACAAAAATCAGGCTTCGTGTTAGTCGGTAACAGATAAAGAGTATGCAGTACCAAAAAATTCCGTATTTACCAAAGAGTGGAGACTTAGAGTAAGAACAATAAGGGGATAGTACTATTTAGCTTCCCTAAACATTGTTGGTCACACGATGAACGACATCGATTCCATTTTCATACAGTATGCTTCAAGAGGAGGTATTCTATGTCATTCAGACTAAGCATAATCTGAAATTAACTTTTGTACAATGGATATTTTGGTCAGAATATAACGTATGGAAGACCTTCGAATGAAGTTCAAGTGACGTTGAGACAACTCACATATTTACTAGGATCAAAAGAATCTATAAACTAATGTGGGTTAGAATTAGGGCATAGAGTTGAAATTCAGGGTTAGCGGTTGAAGTAGGAGCTTTCATCACGCAATGATATCACCTGTTGCGTCAAAATATTATTTAATTATATATATGAATAAAGGAATTGAATATTTGGTGAGTCTATTGTGGGTACAGCTGCAACCGACCTGTTTTGTGACTAGTTTCTGCTACTATTTGCATTTTCCCCTCTAATTCTTATAATTGGAACATTTAGTATTAGTGACTGTAAAACGCGTGACCTTGGGTCTCCCGTTTTCGTTTTGAATCCTTCCTTGTTTATCACTACACTGAACTTTGCTCCAAGTCTATAAGGCATTATCTTAATTCCGACTGGCCAACTCAAATCCAGTAGCATGTCCCTATTCACTATCACCTCTCCTGCATTTTATAATCTACTTCTACATATGAAAATGATTTCCATATCCACTGCTGTCTTATCATTTATGTCGTTAAATTTACAAATTCTTAACGTGTTTCGTATATAATTCTTATTTTCACGTTGTATTGACATCATCAGTCGATAGAGGATATATGACAAGGCCATTATCCGTAAAACATTTGTAATCGGTGATCCTAAACTCAGTCAAAAGACGGTAATTAAGGAGTTCAAAAATATATTTCTTGGTTAGTCAATATAAAGTATGTTATCTAAACTGACTAGTTGTTGCGATAGTTGCGTACTATGGCGTACCTAGTGATGATCTTGTGTGGACGCTTGATTGAGCTCCTTTAGCCAGGGTGTCTCCAGTAAAATTAATCAGGTGTCGACGACGTGCAGAACTATTTGTTGTGGGGATTTATCTACCACTACACGTGCACAAAATCGTACTTGATTACCGTATTGTGTTGACGTAATGAGGGGCTATAATGTTATCTTTTGTGAGTACGTTGGTAGTAGGACGTTACTTTTCTGTGCAAAATAATAGTCATGCACGTCACTAAGCTAAATTGGTAATAAGTATTTAATACATTTTTCTAGTTAAATCTCCGTCTCTTCAAGCGTTTTCCTTGCATATTACATTTAGAATATTTATCTAAGTGTTTATTTACCGTTCAAACAAAATTTCTAGCTATGCCTAATTTTGGTCAATTTGATTCATCCAAATAGGTGAGCATGTGGTTGCGCCGATTCACCAGCTTCCAAAGATTCATGCGTGTAAGGTTTTTATGGTTTGTTCGTTTCTTCGGTTTCTCGGTGGTGTTAACGGCTTTTGTCATACTGTGGAAACTGGGGAATGTCTCATATTATTCGGGATCTAAAAAGTACTCTGAGTTAATAAATGGATTGATTCTGTAAATTTTAAGGGGTTTCAACTACAGTCAAGAATCTGATTACAACGGGAACGACTTCAAAAATGAATGTGACAGGTATTTTAAATTCGAATTGTCATGTATCATTTAGATCCACTTGTGACTTTGAAGGATTGAGATCAAACTCCATTCGTTCTATTCGGTGCATAGTAAATGAACAATTAACACTCGGGTGCTATTTGCTGAAACCGCAAGAAGTACTCATACCATTCGACTTAGTCCGTAATTATTTTAAGGTTTGTCTTGTTTTTTTTTTGTACGGTTTCAATTTTTTACTTTTAAAGTGATGTCATGAGTATAGGATTACCTATTACGTTCATAGTATGCTTATAATTGTTCATGAATAGAATTAACGTCTTATCAACACGAAAACGCAGGAAAGCCATATTAATAATTATCCAGTAGTAATTTTGAGTGATATGGATTAGGTAACTTCAGAAATCTCTTGTGGATCTCTCGACTTCTTGCTGTTGATAATTGTTGCGTTTACTACGAACTATTGATATTCAAGTCGTGCTTCGCTCCTATTTCTATCTCAGTCAGTCATTCAGTCAGCTACAACGTAGGACCAGGCACATTTATGCATCGTTCCAAGTTGCCATACCTCGTTAGCACAACAACATGAACACCGGATTCATAGAAGTAGTTGATTTAGTGGTGGTAGTATATAAAAGATAGGTTGTGTATAAGGATATAGTATAGGAAGGGAGAAAGTTATAAAGCAATTTTAATCTCAAGGTTTAAGAGAAGATAAAGAGTGTATACACCTGCGCCACTGTGACTTCATGTTCTGATGCCACGTTTTGGTTTGGCCGCCCCTAACTCTCTTCCAACCATCCCCAACACTAGTCAGCATAGCGCGTCGTGGTAATAGGTGTTCAGACATACGTAACACGTGGCCTAGCTATCTCAGTCTATCTACATTGAATTAAAAATATTAAACGTGGATTTAAAGTGTCACACTTAATTATAACATAGATGTCTGAATGATAATTGAAAAAACTGAAGTACTTCTTATGTATATAAATTGTATCTTGTAAAACTTGGGACACGTTTACCAATCTTAAATGTGGGAAGTCATTTTATTCTTTTAGACTTTGAACACCTATTAAGAATTATATTCAGGGCACCATGTGTATGCTGGTAGATGTTAAAGAAACTGTGACCACAAAGCGTG